GAAAGGCCAACAACGTTATAAGGCATCTACTAAGTCAATTCAGATGAAGAGGTTCTTCTGTGCTAAGGCTGGGTATAAGCAGAAACCAAACAGTGGTGTTAAGCTTTATTCAAAGATTGATATGAGGACTGGATGTGGTGCATTTGTTCAATTTGATGTGGGGGGTGATGGGATGTGGACAGTTACAAAACACTTGAAAGAGCACAATCACGAGTTATGTTCATTTGGCAAGAGTCATCTGCTTCGGTCGCATAGAAGAGTGGGAAACAATCAGCTTGAATATTTAAAAGACATGAAGAGTAGTGGTGTTGCATTGGCGGATGGTATGAGGTTTTTGGAAACATCAGTCAGGGGGTTCTCCATTGGTTGGCTTTACCAACCGCGATGCTTACAATTCGATGGCTTCTGTGAGTTTGAAGTGTTTGGATGGATCTGATTCCCAATTCTTTGATTGAGATATTCAGGAGGAGGCAATCTAATGAGGCTGATTTCTTTTTTTGATTTCGAAGTTGATTTGGATGGAAGATTGTGTAGTTTTTTTTGGAGGGATGGTCAAATGAGAAGGGATTATGAGGTGTTTGGTGATCTGTTAATGCATGATACAACATACCGCACTAACAAATATGATATGATTTGTGGTCCTTTTGTAGGGATGAACCATCATTGCATGAATGTAATGTTTGGTTGTGGTTTTTTGATGAATGAGAGGATAGAGTCATTTGCGTGGTTGTTTAGAGTGTTTTTAAGATCCATGGATGGCAAGTGTCCACAGACTATCATGACGGATCAATGTTCAGCTATGGCTGCTGGCATTTCCATGGTGTTTCCTACATCACGCCACCGTCTTTGCATATGGCATATTGGTGAGAATTCGAAGAAGCATATCAAGGCATTGAGGAATCATAAGGATTTTCTGGATATGTTCAATGTGTGTTGAAATACACCGAGACTGAAGCTGAATTTGAGGTTTACTGGACAAGGTATGTTATTATGAATTTACATTATATAATTCTGAATTTTCTGTTATGTCATTATGTATTTTCTGTTATATGATTTATGAATTTTCTAATATGAGATTATGAATTCACAGTTATACAATTCTGGATTTTATGTTATGTCATTATGTATTTTGTGTTATATGATTATGAACTTTGTAATATGAGATAATGAATTCACAGTATACAATTATGTATTTTCTGTTATGTCATTATGTATTTTCTGTTATATGATTATGAACTTTCTAATATGAGATTATGAATTTTCAGAATATGAGTAATAAACATGTGTTTTAACCTTTTCAGGATGGTTACAAAATATAATTGTCATAAGAATACATGGCTAGAGAAGCTTTATGACTGTAGGGAGAAGTGGTGTCCAGCGTTCAACAAGGATTATTTCTCCGGGGGTATTTTATCTTCGCAAAGGAGTGAAAGCACAAATCATGCAATTTCTAGGAGGCTGTCCAAGACTGCTGGTTTATGTGATTTTTATTCATCCTTTGTGAGTGTTATATCTGAATGGAGAAGTAAGGAAAATAGCGAGGATTTCCGGTGTTCTCAAGGAGTACCCGCCATGATGATGGATCATGTGAAACTCCTTTCACATGCTAGAGAGGTTTATACAATTGAGATATATTTTTTGTTCGAGGAACAATTTATGAAAGGTAGCTCTTGTTATCAAGAAATGGTGTTGAACGATGGTTGTAAGTGCAAGTATCACGTGTGGCGACCAGACATAGATATCATAAGGCATGAAGTAACCTTTAAGGCAATCAATTTGGATATATGCTGTAGTTGCAAGCTGTTTTCAGAATTGGGAATACTTTGCTGCCACTGCTTACGTATACTTCATGTGCACTGTGTTTCCAATATTCCCGATAAATACATTCTAAAAAGATGGACTAAAAAGGTTGTTGAGGGTAGAAATGTGGACATTGCATCTGTGTTTTATAATGGTGGTGTCCCTTCTTCAATTTGGGCTGTTGAGATTAGTAGGAAATTTCAAAGGCTTATTGTTTCTAGCCAAGATAACAGTGTTGCTAGACAATTCTGTGATGAAGCCGTTGAGAATGCAAGGAAAAACATTGAAGCTGAGATTGGGGATGTGAACACTGAGGAGGGTGTTGTGTCTTCGTCAAGTGGTATTGTCCAAGACCCCTCAAGCCGCAGGGGTAAAGGTGTGAGAAATAAAAGGAGTAGCAGTGTTATTGAGAAGAAGTACAATGCAGCAAGGGGAAGAAAGAGTGCTGCAAACAAGCTTGCTTCAATTACAAAGGGCTCTGTCCAATCATTGGTCTTGGAAAATATTTCAGAGATTGCTCGTGATGGATATCTTGTACATCCAAGCACCGGGGGTTCACAATTTGTTCATTTTAATAAGAATGTAGACCACGATGTAGCTATAGATTGAGATCGTGTTAACAGTATGTACTTATGAATTTTATGATTTTTAGATATAGGATGAGAATTATGTGTCAGATTATGAATTTTCCTTTACCAGTTTATGAACTTTCATTTACCAGTTTATGAACTTTCCTTTACCAGTTTATGAATTTTCCTCTATGTGATTATGAATTTACAGTATGTTCTTATGAATTTTATGTCTCAGATTATGAATCTTCCTTTATCTGATTATGAATTTTCCTTTATGTGATTATGAATTTTCCTATATGTGATTATGAATTTAGAGTATGTGCTTATGAATTTTATGCTATTAAGATTTTATGAGAATTATGTCTCAGATTATGAATTTTCCTTTATTTGATTATGAATGTTACTTTATGTGATTATGAATTTTCCTTGTTGTCATTATGAATGTTATTTTAATGTTATGTAATAATGAATTTCAGTTATAGCTAACATGTATACATTCATAATCTCATAAAAGAAAGTTCATAATTGCATAATAGAAAATTCATAATATGGTAGTTGAAAATTCATAAACTCTACATGATCCACATGTAATCTGAATTAAGAGCAATAGATTGTATATTCATAGGTGCAAAATATCTGTGCACATTACAAAATGAGAGATTCACAATCTAGGGTACCAACAGTCAAGATTTGCTTCATGTTCACAACATATTCAAACACCAAAAAGCGGTATAGTTTCATTTCTTTTTTGAAAGATCCTTGGCTGCCTTCATAACTCGCAATCTTTCAGTGTTCCTACCCCATGTGATAATGCTTGATGCGTATTTAGCTCTAAGCTCCCAAATGAAGTCAGCCTTCAAAAAAAAAAAAAAAAAAAGATGTTAAAAAACAAAAAAAAAAAAAAAACAAAAAAAAAAACAAATCTAAGTTGAAATTAATAGATCTTATACTCTTACATTTACATGGGTGCCTATCTTGAATCCACTGTCCCAATCTTGAACATTCCCCTTGTAGGACTCCATGTGTCGCATGACATATATGCCACAATCAATGACATTGTCAAGCTCCTTCCAAGGAATGGCCAAGCTAAGTATGATACAGGAAGGTTTTGTATCTTACGGAGTAGGGGGGATTTTTCTGCAGTCAAGTACTCTTTCAAAGCATTCATCTGGACAAAAATGAAACTAGTGTGATAATGATTCACATGAAATGTATAACAAACGTTTGAAAGGTCAAGTTTAAGGTTAAGTTACCAGTAGATTTGGGCAATCTTCATACTTGTCAGCTTCAGTAACACCTTTAGGCAACATCTTGTTGTCAATGATTTCAACACTTTTTGAGATGGTGTTGATGCAGACAACAAAGTAGTGTTCGTGTCGAAGCACGGGGAAAAATAGCTAACATCAAAAGAAGAAGTAGTTAGAATAGAGAAGAAATATGTAATTAATGAATAAATGTTGAAGGTGGGTAACTATAAATTACCAAATCAGCATCATTGACATCAAGATTTTCAAATTTTGAAATCTCATACTGTAATCGCTCATTGAAATTATCCTTCCGCTTTTGAAGCGGAAGATTCTTCATCCACTGTTCAGATGGGTCGAGTTGAAGCTAAGGGGAAAAAAATACGTATCAATGATAAGTTGTGCAATATGTAATGGCAGTCATACGTAATTCATGATATCATAACATAAAATCCATAATATTACAAAGAAAATACATAACAACAAAACAGAAAATTCATAATATCAAAGTTGTAATTTCATAACTCACAATAGAAAATTCATAATGCCATATGGGAAAATTCATAATCTCACATTAGAAAGTTCATAATATCAAAAATGTAACTTCATAAACTCACAATAGAAAATTCATAATATCATATGAGAAAATTCATAATCACACACAGAAAATACTTAAAATCCATAATATTACAAAGAAAATACATAACCACAGAACAGAAAATTCATAATATCAAAGTTGTAATTTCATAACTCACAAATAGAAAATTCATAATGCCATATGGGAAAATTCATAATCTCACACAGAAAATACATAATCTCACATCAGAAAGTTCATAATATCAAAAATGTATCTTTATAAACTCACAATAGAAAATTCATAATCACAAACAGAAAATACATATTTACATGACATAAAATACAGAATGGTTTAACAGGAAATTCAGAAGTGAGCAGAGTAAAAATTGTTGTTATTAACTTACATGTACCAACGTGCTAAAATAGATGCACTTTGGCTTCCCCAACGCCCGTTTTGTGTTGAGGAGTGTAAGCCTCAACGCCCATACATCTATGAATGTGTTAAAAATTTCACCGCTGCGGAGGGTGTGGAAATCTCCTCTTGTCATTGAGAAATCATCAAAGATAAACAGAGTTTCACTACATGAACAAAAAATTTTGATAAATAGGTAAATAAATTAACATATGGTTATAAATGTGAAATATTCATGAAAATAAAAAGTTTTCTAAATGGTTAGAGTCAAACATACTCCACTGGATGATCTGTAGAAGCATCCATGAAGGCGTAGTTTGATACGGCCCTCTCGATCACACTGGCATTATGGACAAATGGCACATTCTTTGTCCAAAAAGGTGACCTCAAGTTTAACGGGATGTTTTTGTATTTCCGGACTGGTCTCTTTCGCTTGGTGACATCCTCGACATCAGATTCACTGTCCAGAAATGCACTGTAAACACACGAAGCTAGTTAATATCATCATAGTTGCACAATTTCAGGTCAGAAAGTTCATAACTGCAGTACAGAAAATTCATAAATACAGAACAGAAAATACATAATTGCATATCAGAAAGTTCATAATATCAAAACTGTAATTTAATACTCATAATAGAAAACTCATAATCTCATATGTGAAAATTAATAATATTTCAGAAGAAAAGTCATAATATAATATCAGAAAGTTCATAACACAATTTCATATTCTAATTAGTTTACCTATCAATATCGTCGAGGGTAGCAGGTAGTGTAGCAGCAGGCGTAGAAGTATTAGCAGCATCAGGGACATCTCTGGCGAATGGAACCTTGATCAATGGAGTTATTTCTCGTCTTTCAGAACTTGATGTAGCAGGGGTAGCAGCATATGTTTCAGAAGATGAAGCAGTAGGGGTAGCAGCAGTGGTAGGAACATGTGTAGGAGCAGGGAAAGCAGCAGGGGAAGAAACAGCCGTAGCACCATGCGTAGCAGCAGGGGTTGTAGCAGTGATAGCGGTAGGAGTAGTAGAGAGTGTAGCAGCATCAGCAGCACCAGGAGTGTCTTTCACAATGTTTTCAACAAGGGCATCCAATTCATCGTCATCCATTGCACTTTGCTCACGTGGTTCATCAACCAATGGTGCCGGGGTATAAGAAATCCCTAAATCAAATGAGGGAGGGTCAATCTCCATTTGCCGATTGGTCTTTTGGAAGGCTTCAACCAAGGCATCAACAGCCTTTGTGAAAGACTCTTGGCCAAAGAAGATGTCGTCAAGTTGAGAGGAGGTTGGAGTTGGTGGTCTTTCTATCGTGCTTGCAACGCCAATCATGGTGGAAATCCCAGAAAATGCAGCCTTCATAACATCCACTGGGGCGTTTTGTTTGCCAACTTCAGCCATAGCCTCACCGAATTCCAAGACATCAGCAGCAAGGCGTTGTAGAACCCGTGTGACCCTATCAACACTAGATGGCGGCACAGAGATGGTTGGGACTGGTTGGGCGGAAGTAGAAGCGATACAATCAGCAGTAGGCTTTGCAATACGAGGGATAACTTTCCCTTTACCATATCCGCCCGACCTTTTCTCAGCGGAAACCCTTTGCCGTGCAAGTTTATTTGTCCATGCAGTAATGCTTGGATATGTTCTTTGAACGCTCATTCCTTTGAATTGGACCCGATCAAAGTAGAATAGCTACAATGTTGAAGAAAAAGGTAAAATAAAAAAGTTATAATCACAAAATTCATAATTACACTACAGAAAATTCATAATATCATAATAGAAAATTCATAATCCATATGAACATTATATTCAACTATCGTATTATGGATTTTATGTTATACAATTATGAACTTTCTATTATGAGATTCATTATTGCATAATATTAAAAGAACATTCATAATGACAACAAGGAAAATTCATAATTACATAAAGGAACATTCATAATCAAATAAAGGAAAATTCATAACCTGACAAATACAATTCTCACAAAATCTAAATAGCATAAAATTCATAAGTACATACTGTAAATTCATAATCACATACAGGAAAATTCATAAGCACATAAAGGAAAATTCATAAGCACATAAAGGAAAATTCATAATATGACACATATAATTCTCATAAAATCTAAACAGCATAAGATTCATAAGTACATACTTTAAATTCATAATCACATAGAGGAAGATGCATAATGACATAAAGGAAAATTCATAATCATATAGAGGAAAATTCTTAATCACATAGAGAAAAATTCATAATCACATAGAAGAAAATTCATAATCTAACACATATAATTTACAATCTGAATATCATAAGATTCATAAGTGGAGCTAGAGCTTACCAATATGAATGTCATTGGTCCAGTAAAGAAGCTATTACTTTTCTTCCTGTACTGCTCGATGGACTTGATCAGAGAGTTGTAGGTGTAGCCACACCAGTTGTACTCCTTTATCTCATCAACATTAATCAAGGAGTTGAGGATTCTGTTGTTGCAGTAGCGTGTCTGAAATCCCCTCATCATGCACGAAACAGTCAAGACCATGAAGTCTCTCTTAAAGTCATCTCCAGAATCTCCCCTTTGAACTATGACATCTCCCATCTGGGTAGTGATTGGGAAACCAAGCTTAATATTCCACCTTTCCCTCCAGCTTTTCAAGAGAGCCCTGTATTCCGGTGTCCCCTGTTCATCATATTTTGGGGCCTCAACAACCTTCTTTTCTCCTCTTGGAATGCCAAGAGTGTACTCAACGTCCTCTTCATCAACTGTGAGCTTGTCGTTCTCCAACTTGAAATGTGTTTGGAAAACCTCAAAGTTGGCTATCAAATACTGGACTAATTGTGACTCATTTGCACACAATTGAAGGTCCAACAGGGCTCCAAAACCAATATCACGGACAGATTGTTTTTGTTCTGGCAGTAGTTGTTGTACAAGCCTAAACATGGTCTTTGGTCCCATCCGTGTGTTGAAGTAGGGAGTAGAACTCCCTTCTGCACAATCACCTCCAATGGCTGTTTTGCCCCTATGTCTGTCATTTATCTGCTTTGATCTCTTTTCTCTAATAACTTCTTGCTCGAGCAGGTCATCAGACTGCTGTTGGGATGGTTGAGCAGCCTGTGAGTCAAGTACAGCCCTTGTTGTTCGTTTTCTCTTGTTTTTTGTTGTAGGTTTGACTGTAGTGTTTTGTTCAGCTGTCGTCTGTGAGGGTTGTGATGGTTCTGCAGCTTGAGAGCTCAAGACTGCCTTTGTTTGTGAGCGTGTTCTCCTTCGTTGAGCAGTGTCCATTGCTTTTATTAAAAACGTTAGAAAGCAAGTAACTCATATACAACATATAATATAGATTGATGGAAAATATATTCCTTATTTCAGTAGAGGGGGGATGGGGAGTGCCGAATAAATCCAGCCATGCTCTACCGAAAAGAATATATTGTCCATCAAAATAACAGTTACACATAATTGATAATATAGTAACATAAAATTCATAATATCACAAAGAAAATTCATAATATCATAACAGAAAATTCATAACCTTAGAACAGAAAGTTCATAACTACAATACAGAACAGAAAATTCACAACTCACATTGTAGAATTCATAATCTCATATGAGAAAATCCATAATTCCATATTGTCCATCAATAACAGTCACATATAATTCATAGTATAGTAACATACAATTCATAATATCCCACAAAGAAAATTCATAACCTCAGAACAGAAAATTCATAACCCCAGAACAGAAAGTTCATAACTGCAACACAGAAAATTCATAACTACAGAACATAAAATTCACAACTCACAATACAGAATTCATACTCTCCTACGAGAAAATTCATAATCTCTAACAGAAAATACATAACCACATATAAGAAAGTTCATAACAGCAAAACCGTAATTTCATAGGCACAATAGAAAATTCATAATCTCACACAGAAAATACATATTTGCATGACATAAAATACATATTTGCATGACATAAAATACATATTTGCATGACATAAAATACATAAGTGAATAAACGTTATGGACATTCAAAGCTTGCATAGAAAGTGAATAAACAGCAGTAAAAACCATATACGAATCAATTCATAATGGTTAATCTACACATATATAATGCTACAGATATACATTCATAAGCTCATAACATTACATTCAAACCCCCATTTTAAAATTTCAAAATATGTACACGGAATACAAAAACCCTAAATCATAAACACACCATATACAAAATACCTGTAAGACAAGTGAAGCAACGTTGAGAATGAGCGATGGAGAGGCTGTCTCCTTTGATAGCTACGGGAGAACGCGAAGTTTTGTTCGAGAGATGCGAGAACGAGAAATGCGAGAACGAGAAATACGAGAGCAGAGAGGAATGGCTGTGGAGCAGAGTGTTTGAGAGTGATCGAAGGAAATGGCTGTGGAAGACGAAGTGAGAGAAGAGAGCTCGAGAGTGGAGTTCAGAGAGCAGAGTGATGGACGTTGCGTGGAGAGGAAGTGAAATGGTGTAGTGGGAACTGCAAACGCTATTGGCGCGTTTAATTTAAAAAAAAAAATGTGAGTGGTGGGAGTTAACGGTGCCACTTACGGGCACCGTTAGTCCCACTCACTCAAAACGGCGTCGTATGGAACCGTGTTCACCAACCATGGTGAACACGGTTCCATGGCATAACAACTGTACAATGCCACACAAGCCTCAGCAAGGCCACTCGTGCTGCCTTTCTCCATACTTAAAGAGAAAAAAAATACTAGAGAATCCTAACAGAGGAAAATGGAAGAAAACACTCACATACCAGAAAACACTAAAAGGCACAAAAGCTCCCCACCAGAGAAAATGAGAGAGAGAGAAACCTTTTGCTTCTTCTTATGAGTTAATCATTAGAAACTATGGGATTGGATATGTTTTCAAATCTCAAAACTAGAAAGTAGATCTGTCCTCTAATTATTTAGTGATTATTACATATAATAATTGGCTAATTACATGTTTTGTGGGTGTCTTCAGTTTGGGTTTTTGCAAATAATAGTATAATACAACCAAATTATATAATAAGCGAATAATTTATCAAAGGAAAAATGGCGAGTTTGGTCCCTGAGTTATAATGGTAGTGACGACTCAGTCCCTGAATTATGACTGTATCCATTTTTAGTCCTTCAGTTATGAGCGAATTGGCGCATTTGATCCCCGAACATTAAAATTGATGAAAAAATTTAAAAATATTTAAAATTTTAGGGGTAAAGTAAAAAATTCACATTTTATTCGTTTTCTTATATTGAAACCACTTTTGCAACATTATTTTCAACTTTCTAATATTCTATTTCAAGTTTCTTCAATTCTAAAAGCAATTCAATAATTTTCGTATGACTTGTTTGTAACCTGAGTCCCGTATAAGGAACCTGTGACTCAGTACAAACAAGATAACATTTGATCATTGTCTTCAACCATGTTAAACACATCATCCTAAAAGTTTTTGATTTCCCATAATACTAAACATAATGATAATCAAACCGTAACTTTTGAAATACAAGAAGATATAAAATTTCTCAGGTTATTTTTATGACAAATTCACCAAGGGAGTAACTTGAGATTTTTAGTACGTAAAATTCTTTCGTAAGCACTGCATTAACTTAAAGAATCGTATATCCTAACAATATATGAAAATTATATATATATATATATATATATATATATATATATATATATATATAATTTTCACCTGGAAATGCTAACAAGGTAAAATTACATGCACTTATAGGTGAAAGTGGGTGCATTTGTAAGTGATTTTACTTGCACTTCGATGTTCAATTATTTACGAAAATGCCACCGCGTTTTTTAAGTTATTAGATCTGGACACGTGTCGCGCGCTGATTCGTTCGCATATTCCTTCCTGGGCACTTATTCGCACCTGAGTGCATCCCTATATATATATATATATATATATATATATATATATATATATATATATATATATATATATATATATCACCTCCTCTGTTTTATTAAAATCAGAGTAATGAATGAGGATCCTAAGACTCACTTATGAAAATTTAAAAAACTTTTGTAACTTCTAAAAACAATTATTGACTAAACTACTGCATATGAAAAATTTTACATACTAAAAATCTCAAGTTATTCCGTTGGTGAATTTCTCATAAAAGCAACTTGAAAAATTTGACATCATTTTGTATCTCAAAAGTTCTGGTTTTATAATTTTGTTGCTTAGTAAAGAAAATTGAAAATTGAAAATTGAAAGTTGATAGGATAGTGTGTTTTACACGTCTGGAGACAATGATCAAATGTTTCTTTGTTTGTGCTAAGTCTTAAGTTTGTTATACAAGAGTCAGGTTCCTAACAAGTCATACTAAAGTTATTGAAATGTTTTTAGAACTGAACAATCTTGAAATAAGAGGCTAAGAAGTGAAAATAATGTTGTGAAAGTTGTTTTGATATAAGAAGGAGAATAAAATGTGAATTTTCTACTTTAACCCTCAAATTTTAAATATTTTTTAATTTTTCCGTCAATTTTAACGGTCGGGGACTAAATGCGCCACTTCGTTAATAACTGAGGGACTAAAAATGCATACGGTCATAACTCAGGGATTGAGTCGGAACTTGAGTATAACTCAGGGACCAAAGATGCAATTTTCCCTTTATCAAAACTTGCTATATTTGAATACGTTAAGACTTGTAAATTTTATTTTTGCACGGTTACAATTATGAACTAATTACACTATTTTGTCAAATTATGGCATCTCATTGCAATTTTTATTTATTTTTTTTAAAATTAAGAAACTTTTTTTTTTTGTTTTTAAATTAAGAAACTTAATTACACTATTTGTTAAATTTGAGGGTAAATGGACACATTTTCCTATGAGAAATTATGGAAAAAGTTAGGGCTAAAATTTAGATATAAATAATACATGGGCTAATAATGTATATAAATAAAACAATTGTACCCAAAAAGAATTATTGGCAAAAACAAATGCAGAAAAGAGAAAAAGGGAAGAGAGAGACTGACAGTAGCAAACAACGTAGGCTTAAGTGCTCAACACACATAAAAACCCTATCGTGCCCCGTTTTAACGTTTCTCTCATCGTCTCCAATCCCTTGTCAGTTCGATCTTCGCTATCAAACCTCTGAAGCCATTTCGATCTCACTTTGCTCTGTTTGTTTATTCTTACTCACAAAATCCCCAATAAGAAAAGAAGAACTCTAGGCTCAGTTCTTCGCGATGATTCCGTTCGCTTCGACCACTTCGTCCCAGATTCGGTATTTGCTGCAGAGCTTAAAGGATTCCAACTCTGACTCGGTCTTCCAGGAGCTCTGCCAGGTTATATACTTACTTTCCATTTGTCTATCGCTGTATGTATCGATACGTTCGAGTCTGTGGATGGATTTTGCGTATTCATGTCAACGCGCGTATTTATGCTGTCACTCAATTTCTCCTTTCTTGTGCTATTTGTACGTTATTAAAGATTGTAGCTTTGGGATCCTTAATTATTGTTTGATTGTGTGGGCATTGTTGAACCCTTAATTTTGTTTATTTATTTAAGTTGTCTCACCACTGATGTCCAGTCTTTGTGGATGTGGGTTGTGAGATATCTTTGTCTCACCACTGATGGTTTAGCTTGTTACTTGGGAGAGAGTGGTGGTTATTATGGAATTAGGGTGTATTTGCAACTTTTGAGGGTTGGTAGCATCCATTGACACACTTCTCTTTGCTTAGGGTCTTGGCTATTAAAAGAGCCAAAATTATAGATTTGGAATGCAATTGCTGGGTCAGGCACTTAAACAAAGCACACAATTGAAAGCTTAGTATTTAATCTTATGAAACCCTTTCATAAACATGTTTTTTTTTTTGAAATCCTGAAGGGTTAAGAATTTAGTGGGCATGACTTTTATGCATCAGTTAGCTGATTTAGCCTATTTAACTGCAGTTTGCAACATATGGAATTGAGGGAAGAATACTGCTGCTTGGAACCATCTTTGATCACCTGAGTATTTATGGAAAAGACCTGAAGAATATGCAATTCGATGCAGTTTATGCTTCAATTTTCAAGTATATCTTGGATAAACCCAGTTTCAGCACTGTTTTCTGTGTGTCCATAAGAGGTGTTACAATTAATGAGGAGTTCCTGGAAAATCTGTGTAATGCATTACGCTTGTCAGTATCTGAGAAAATTGAAGTTGGTCTTGCTTTGTCTGATTCTGAGAATGCTGATGTAAAAATGTGTGGTAAGCTCTTTTTAACCCATCACTACTGAGAAACTTATGCTCAGATCAATGTTGCTTTATTCTATCGAATATAATGACAGCTAGATACACAAAGTACTGATGCTTTATATTCCAATATGGAACCTATTAATATATTTCAGGGAAAAGCTACTGCATGGGTCAGATTGTGGAATTATGTTCAAATCAAATGTCTTTTGATTCTGTGGAACACATTCAGAGCATTCTATTGTTGATTAATCAATCTGAAGGCCTTTCTAAGCATGTAGATTTGTTTATGCACATGCTCTCTCTTGTCCAATCAAAAGGAGGATCCCAATTCATTTTATCCCCATTGCTTTCTGATGAACTTCGTGAAGTCAACTTTTGGAGGTATTTTTTGCTGATATTGACTTCTTCTTGTTACTGTTATTTTCAGTATTATTATTTTCATTATTATTATTATTATTATTATTATTATTATTATTATTTATTAGTTTTGGTGCATCTGAGGGGAATGGAGTGAATGGGAATTGAACTTAAGAACTCTTATATAGAGTCTTGGACTGTTATTATTATTTCTTAATAATAGGAATTTTAACTCCATATTATAACATTACATACACACACATGTATATGTATATATTTTTTTCTTTAATTATAGTTTTCCGATTTAACTATAGTTTTCCAATTTAGTTATTACTACAATAATACTAATAATAATAATAATAATATTATTATTATTATTATTATTATTATTACTATTATTATTATTATTATTATTATTATTATTATTATTATTATTACTATTATTATTATTATTGTTGTTGTTGTTATTACCATCATGGCATCATCATCATAATCATAATATATGTGTGTATTAATTTTGAACTCTAGTTTTCCAACTCAGTTATAACTGTTGCATATCTTTTTATAATTTTATTTGCTGTAGGAACTTTGATGATTTTAATGAAGAAAGTGAAGATGATTTTGATGCGCTTTTAATGGAAATGGAAAAGGAAATGAGCATGGCTGATACAATGAAGGAGTTGGGTTATGGATGCACAGCTAATGCCTTGCAATGCAAGGAAATCTTATCTCTTTTCTTACCATTGACTGAAATTACTGTTGCAAGGATACTTGGAATGATTGTTCGTACCTACTCCGGTCTGGAGGATAATCAGAATATATTTTCAACATTCCGAGCTGCTCTTGGGAGTACCACTGTGTATGATTTACCATCACCAAGTTCTTGGAATGGTGATGTACTTATTGATGCAATCAAGGAGCTAGTGAGTTTACTTGTTTCTTTTATATATTCATCAATTATAGGGTGTGTATTCTGTGTTTTGTTTGCTAATTCTTATTGATTTGCACAGGCACCTGGGCTAAATTGGGGTACTGTTATGAAAAATCTAGATCATGAAGGGTTTTATGTCCTTAATGAACCAGCTTTTGCCTTTCTTATGTCCATGTATAAATGTGCATGCCAGGTATGTATGTCAAATTTAACTTTGCCTTACCATGTTCACTTTAGGACGTGGATGTTTGGCTGCATATACAGTTTGCAGTGCCAGAAATTGGGGTCAGTGGGGAGAATGTACACTCAATAATAAGACCTAAAACATTTATAGTATTATGTTAAAATAGAAATACTATTAGAAGTTTAAAACTTAGTTATCATTATTCTTGATATGTGCTTTAAAATCAAATAAAATTAGGATTTCAAAATTTCAAGTTAAACAAAGAAGTTTTTATGATTACCGACTTACTTTTCCTCCTTAATCAAATTTCAAGATTTAAAAAATTTGATAAATCATTTTTTTTATATTAAATATAGTGTGATAAGCTGAAAAGGAAAGAAGATGTTAGATTTATGGCAAAAAGGGTTTCTTTAGACTAGTGCAAATTGGACTTTAACTTGTAGATTTATTATTAATCATGGTGCTGTTGTTTGTTATTTTTTAAACTAATGAGTGGGTGCGGTTTTGTCTTTACTTACTAATATTCACCCTGCTTGTTTAGAATAAGTGGGTGACTACCATGTTCTAGATGCCAGTTTTGTAGTTTAATTTGTATTTGTTGCTTAGGATCCCTTCCCTCTACAAGCTGTCTGTGGCTCTATCTGGAAAAATTCTGAGGGGCAGTTATCATTTCTTAGTCATGCTGTAGTGGCTCCTCCAGAAGTATTTACCTTTGCTCATTCTGGGAGGCAAATGGTATGTTTCTTTCATTTAGTATCTTTTTTTTTTTTTTGGGGGGGGGGGGGGCGGGGGTTGTTTGGCTGATCTGAAGTTTGAACTGTGATCACTTTATGAGCAGGCCTATGTTGATGCCGTGAATGACCATAAGTTTCAACATGGACATTCAAACCATGCTTGGTTGTGTCTTGATCTTCTGGAAGTGTTGTGCCAGCTTGCTGAGAGGGGACATGCAAATTCTGTTCGATCCATTCTTGAGCACCCTCTTACGCACTGCCCCGAACTTTTACTTCTTGGCTTGTCACACATCAATGTACTGGTCTTAAAACACAATGTATCTTGTGAATCCTTTTCATTGTTTTCTGTATTGACACTGAATAGCAATCTTGTTATACCGAATGCAGACGGTGTATAATCTCCTTCAGCATGAAATTTCTTCAACAGTTTTCCCTATGATACTGAGAAATGCTCCAGGGATGGGTATGATTCATTATTTATGGCATGTCAATCCAAGCATTTTGGTTAGGGGTTTTGTGGATGCTGTAACAATTGATGCGGACAATATTAGCAGAGTTTTGGAGGCCTGCCAAGAATTAAAGGTTTGAGTTAATTTCAAATTGAAAAGTTTTAGGTACATTGTTTTTCTTATAATATAAAATGGTTTTCTTGTAATATAAATGTTCATTATTTTTCTTCTTCTAGATAATGAACAGTCACATCCTGTGGTTGGAGACTTTTCTTTCAAATGAAAACTTAAACAATCTGTGCCTAACATTCCCCATTTGCCCTCTTCCCTCTCTTTTATCCCCCTCTGCCAACAACATGGAATGAAAGATAATATATCTTGCATTGACCAAATTCCTTTTTAATGCAGATTCTTTCACCAGTATTGGATATGCTTCCTTCCAATGTTGGTATTAGACTTGCTGCTGTAGCCTCTATGAAAGGACTCATAGATCTTGATAAATGGTTGAATACCAACTTAAGTACATATAAAGATAAGTTTTATGAGGTAGTTTCTCTTGTTAAATTGAGTTTCACTTTCATATTCTCTGATTTCTGCATTATTCCTGTTTGTAATGTGAGAATCTTGACTGTTGGGCTGAAATTTGTCTTGCTACTTATAGGAATGCCTAAAGTTTCTAAAGGAGGTTCAGCTTGGCGTTCAAGATATTTCAACTAACTGCTTTCATCTCCCTAACACACTGTTGAATATTTATATGGAAGCTTCTACCATGTTCATTAAGGTTTTGGGTTTAGGTGTTGGACTAATTAATTAACAATTGTGCCCTTCATTAGTGTTCATCTAATCCATTTCCCTGTTATGTCCAGCTGCTTCAGTCTCATACTGGGTTAATTTCCTCTCATTACTTATCTGACGAATTGGAGAAGATAAATATGACATACGTGAATTCTAACCCAAGGCTTAAGACTGTTGGTGCTTCTAATTCGTCAACTTCAGATGCTCATGCTGATGACATTGAAGCAGAAGTAAACTCATATTTCCAACAAATGTTTCATGAGGAACGCTCGGTTGAGTCAATTATTCAAATGCTTGCTCGCTTCAAAGAATCTTCTGATAAAAGGTTTTCTACTTTTCTAATGCTATTCCACCTGTTGTCAAATTACTACTCTTTAATGCCTAATTCTGTCATAATATTTTATTGGGTATAATTTCTATAATTTTTGTTCGCATGTTGTTATCAAAGTGTACTTCTCAAACTCTGTAAAGAGAAAAAATTGGAGTTAGCGTGTAATGCTTTCACATAATGCGGTCTGGGGTAGGAAGATGTGTATGTAATGTTAAATATATTTTGTACAGATTTTTTCCTAGGGAATGGGGAAATGATTTCAATTGCGTGTACATGCTGGGAATGATCAGTAATTGATCAAAGCATACACTATAATGTCTAACCTTTATTTTTGCTTGCAGGGAACAAGCAGTTTTTGAGTTTATGATTGCTAATCTTTTTGAGGAATATAAATTCTTCTCAAAATATCCTGACAAACAGCTTACCATTGCTGCAGTTCTGTTTGGTGAGCATTTCTGTATCTTCTTGGAGGTTCTATATATATAAGCCAGTTGGGCATTGTTTTGCCTAAATTGGCATGGGTGGAGTTAGTCACTTTTATATCGTTGGCTGTTCAATGGAATTGAAGATAATTTGTATATCTGTACTATGGTGCGATGGTAGATAATTAACATCCTGGTAGATGTTAACCTTTTGTTATGTATGCATGATTGTTTTTAACATAATTTTTACTTCATTATATCATTGCCAGAAGTGACCATTTCAGGAAATTGAATTCCTCTGTGAAAAGGTGACTATAAGTTATTGTGCTTAGTTCATTGTTCCAAAATTTTCAGGATCCCTTATCAAGCATCAGCTTGTAACTCATCTTACTCTTGGAATTGCCTTGCGGGCCGTCTTGGATGCTTTGCGAAAACCTGCTGATTCAAAAGTATCATTTTATTTGTTTCTTCAATTTTATTTTTTAATGAGGTGGTTCAACTGTTTGTGTAGACTTCATATTGCTGATGGCTCTCTATACACAGATGTTTTCTTTTGGCACTAAGGCTCTGGATCAGTTTCGGGAACGTTTGATTGAGTGGCCACAATACTGCAATCACATCTTACAAATATCTCATCTCCGTGTAAATCATTTGGATATTGTTCTATACATTGAACGGGCACTTGCAAGAATATCCTCTGCACATTCTGAGTCTGACATAGGCAATAATGCTGTTGCTGATCAGTTTCATGGAATTATCCAGTCTTCAACATCAAATGTGGAGGTGAATATATTATTGTTTTTATTTTTATTGTTATTATTGGGCTTGCGTGGGGATTAGTCTCCTGTATCATTTAATGGTTTGAATGCATGAAGAATTTGACAAAGAGATGGTGATATTTTGTGGGATCCTATAATTATCTCATGCACAACTATAAAATCTTCCAGATGCTGCCTTGCTTCCATGTTTGTCTACAAAACCATATTTTTTCATTAGAGAATGCCATGCCCTTTAATTACAGTGCAAGGGGTTAACTTGGGGTGGGGCAACTTGGATGCCAACTGAGTCAACTGGTAGTTTTGTAGTTTAGCTTGAAATTTATTATGTTGGATTAAGAAAATATTTTTTTCGTTGATTGAGTCTATACCTGTGTTACTCTAGCCTGCTTTACTCCAAGAAGAATGGCTGAAATCCTTGCTATCTTTGTATTTGTAATTTGTTTGTTTCGATTGCTTAAATTCAAACTAAATCAATTGGGGTGTGCATTTATGGATCAAAATCAATTCAGTCTGGCCATTTTGTTCACAACTTATGTGAACTGAAAGTACTTAATATCTTTAATGCAGAGTTCCACATTTGCATTGACTGGACCTATTAGCTCCCAACCATCAGGCTTGCAATTAGCACCTCCAGTTCAGCTCCCGCCGAGACAGCAGAGTACCTTAGATGAGAGGAAAATTTCAACTATTCCTAGCCACATGAAAACTTTGTCCTCCACAAGTCAAGCAGTGGGTGTTCCTTCAAGTGATGCATCTAATATTCCAAAGGCCTGTGCTTATTTCTATATGTTTATTTATAGTTCGGTAGAGTTTGCCAATTTTAATATTTACTTTTGCATTTTGTCATTTCCTAAAATACAGTCACAGAGTGCACTCAATTCTGCAGCAGCGCACACTTCATCCCCCGGTTTTACTCGCCCAAATCGAACAAACTCAACAAGTACACATTACTTATTCTAAGTTCATTACTGTTTTACATTATACTATTATGGGTATCCGTAATTATATTTCTGCAAACATCTAGTTTGTAGCTTTTGGTGTTTAAGCTGATTCTTTTTTTATAGGGTTTGGGTCAGCATTAAATATTGAAACACTTGTTGCTGCTGCTGAGAGAAGAGAAACACCTATAGAGGTAAGTGTTTGTCAATTTGTGTCAGTTTTGTCTAGCTATGGATTACTATTGTTTAACCTTGAATAAAGGAATTCTGATCTTCCCAAGGTGAATTAGTATACTAATTGCTTATTTATATTTATTAGAAAGTCATTGCTACTCCACTAACCTGATGTTTCCTCATTGTAAGAAGGCCTTCATATAGAAAGGTGTTTTGTTTTGTGTATTGCTATGCCGATGCTGCTACTGTGTTCTGCTATAAATTGTGTATCTTGGCAGCAGTCAAGTGTGTGCATGTTGACTGTGATCTAACAATGTGAAGTTTGTAACTTTTTATAAAGTTGGAGTCGCAATTTATCCTTTTTTTCCTCTAATGCTGACTAAACTAATATATGCATTCATTAATCTCTTTACAGGCTCCAGCTTCAGAAGTCCAGGATAAAGTCTCATTTATCATCAATAATTTGGCTATTCAAAATGTTGATGCTAAAGCAAAAGAGTTTTCTGAAATTTTAAAAGAGCAGTACTACCCCTGGTTTGCTCAGTATATGGTGATGAAAAGGTGAGAAGTTAAATATTTGGTTCTTTAATTTACTTTATAATGCTATCATGTATAGATCATTGTAGCCATTTTGAAACTTTCTCACCTGTTTGTTGTTTTATTTGGTTTTCTGTTTAATCTCTGCTTGCATAGAGCGAGTATTGAGCAAAATTTTCATGACTTATACTTGAAGTTCCTAGACAAGGTGAATTCAAAGGCTCTGTACAAGGAAGTTGTCCAAGCAACGTATGAAAACTGCAAGGTTCATTGTCTACTCATACGACAAATGCTCCCTATTAGAAAAGTTAAAACTATAGGTTATATCTTATTTATTTATTTATTATTATTATTCTTTAATTTTCAGGTCCTGTTAGGATCTGAACTTATAAAGTCGAGTTCGGAAGAGCGTTCATTGCTAAAAAATCTAGGAAGTTGGCTAGGGAAGATAACAATTGGCAGGAATCAAGTTTTACGTGCTAGGGAGATTGATCCCAAGTCTTTGATCATAGAGGTTGATTTTTTAAAATGTAGCTTTTGGAGTTCTTTTGACATTACATTTTGGTTCCCACTACATCTGGAGGCCTTTTCTTGTATTCAATGTGTTGAGCTATTGTTTTTCTTGCAGGCTTATGAAAAAGGGCTAATGATTGCAGTTATTCCGTTCACCTCAAAGGTTTCTGGAATATCCTTGTACTTGTTATTTATCTTGTGTTCTATGATATTTTATATTGTCATTGCTTGTTGCAGATATTGGAACCATGTCAAAGCAGTCTAGCATACCAACCTCCTAATCCGTGGACCATGGGTATACTTGGATTACTTGCTGAGATATATGCAATGCCAAACTTAAAAATGAACCTCAAGTTTGATATTGAGGTATTTATATGTATGCTAGCTTTTTTTTTACACATATACTGTCTCTTGGATTGTCTTAATACTTGTTTTTCCCTTCGTTCTTTTTGCATTTCAGGTGCTGTTCAAAAACCTTGGTGTGGATTTGAAGGATGTTGCACCAACATCACTTCTTAAAGACAGGGTTAGAGAAGTAGAAGGAAATCCTGATTTCTCAAATAAAGATGCTGGGTCTTCTCAATCCCAGATTGTTACCGATGTCAAATCAGGACTTGTGTCTACTCTTAATCAGGTTGAACTACCACTTGAAGCTGCCACATCATCTCATCCTGGTGGTCACTCACGTATATTATCTCAGGTATATGCTTCTTTTTTGTACCACTATTTCACTTTAGCTATTACCATTAGCAATAACTTTTTACACATGGTGATCCAGTATGCTGCTCCACTCCATCTTCCTTCTGCAACACTTATGGAGGAAGAGAAGCTAGTAGCTTTAGTAGATCAGCATCAAATTCCTTCTGGTCAAGGTATCATACCAGGGCAGACACCGTTTTCTGTTAGTCAGGTATTTTGGCAGCTGCATTTGTAATTAATTTTGTAGTAAGTTTGTTTTGATAGAACTGGATATAAATTAATGAAATGTTCCAACTGTTGCTGTAGCTTCCTACACCTACCTCTAATATTGAACAGCAAGTTATCATCAACCCAAGACTTCGTGCTCTGGGCATGCATGTGCATTTTCAAAGGTCCGAAGCGCATATTGGAACTCAGCCATAATGGAATTACTTTATTTGTTTGTCCTGTTAGTTATTAACTTGTTCTTAAGTATTTGTTATTTTCCTTGCTGCAGTGTGCTTCCCATTGCCATGGATAGAGCTATAAAAGAGATAGTTACCAGCATTGTGCACCGCAGTGTTTCTATAGCTACTCAGACAACGAAGGAACTTGTTTTGAAGGTTTTAAGAAGAAACCCTTCATCTAATTACATCACGCCTTCCCTTTTCCCTAAATATACTGTGTCTTTACTTTTTTTTTTTTTGCCTATATACTGTGTCTTTACTTAAATTGCTGTAAAGGTCCTGTCTTCCTCTGCTGAATCCATAGATTAATTTTATTGGCAGGACTATGCCATGGAGTCAGATGAGACCCGTATACGTAATGCTGCACATCTGATGGTTGCTAGTTTAGCAGGAAGTCTAGCTCATGTGACATGCAAGGTAACCAAATTTCTTTGCTGTTTTTTTTTTTTTTTTTTTTTTTTTTTTTTTTTTTTTTTGGTTTTCGGGTTTTTATTTTTATTTTATTTTTAAATTCTTTATTACTATTTTAGTTATTGTTCTGCTTGATAGTTACCATGCATAATTTGGTTTCTGATAAGTATGACAAATGTTTTTATGACCTTTAGGAACCTTTACGTGGTTCAATATCGAGCCAGCTACGGAGTACACTTCAGGGATTAAGTATTTCTAGTGAGCTCCTTGAACAAGCTGTACAACTAGTGACTAATGACAACCTTGACCTTGGTTGTGCGTTGATTGAGCAAGCTGCAACAGAGAAGGTCTTTTCTAGCTTGGGTTGCTTTTACTTTTAAATGATGTCACTCTTGATGTATCCATATTCACTTCATGATCAATCACTTTCCGACCCCCCCCCCCCCCCCTCCTCCTCCTCCTATATTAGCATCTTGTCCGTTAAGGACCTTGTGGTCTAGTGGCATCAAGTTGCTCTCCCATATGGGAGGTTGTGGGATCGAGCCTCAGTGGAGGTGATATTGACTCTTTGTGCTTCAGTAGGTTGAAAAAGTAGATGGACTGATACTGCATTGTAACAGAGTCAGTAGTACTTGTGTATTTGTGTGAAAATTCTATAGGCTCCAAAACTGAACAGGAAAGAGCTCTAGAGATTGGACTCTGTATGCATAGATTTTGTAAAGTGTTACTCGCCCATCATGTACTTCTGTCATATTTCTTTCTCTTGCCTTTTTTTAGGTTTTTGTGCTCATGTTTGTTATGTTACATTATTACTATGAACAATTTCTCTCGCATTGGGCAATTCAAAACTAACTTTTAAAGTTATATAGAGTGAGAATTTAGCTTGTGTTCTAGGGTTCAAATTAGTGGTGAACTTAGATGCTACATAAGATAACCTTTTTCATAGCTTGGAGGGTTCTTTTACACAATAACATATGATCTGCTTTTACTTTGTGAGAGCTTAAACCTCACTGTGGTTTAACATACTGAATCTTAAGGTTTTAAATCTGTTACCCTGTACTTTGTCTTTAATGTTGAGTTGTTGATCTCATATGTGGTTTATCATTCCACTGTATGCAGGCAATACAAACTATTGATGAAACCATTGCTCAACAGCTTGCTATAAGGAAGCATAGAGACGGACCCACATTCTTTGATTCAGGTGTCTATACTCCAGGACACATGGGAGTTTTACCTGAAGCACTTCGTCCTAAACCTGGCCGTTTATCCCATTCTCAACAGCGAGTTTATGAGGCACATACGATGTCCTTAGCCTTATTTGATTCTGTATTGACACTAATTAATATTTATGTCAAGTTACATTCAATTCTGTCTACAGGATTTTGTTCGCTTACCTCTGCAAAATCAATCGGGACAAAGCTCAAATACTTTGCCTGTTGGTCCTTCTCCTTCACCAAGTAGCAGTGGTCTGTCTCGGGCTTATGTGGCTGGCTCTGGGCAAATGAACCCTGCAATTTACTCGGCTGGCCTTGTTAATGCAGGAATTAGTTCTGTTCCACAGCCTTTGGATATTGTATCAGAAGAAATAGATACAAGTTCATCTCAGCTTCATAGGTGGTTTTTGCTTTACAAACTTAATTTAGAATCTTTTTATTGGCCGTCTTTTGTTCTGTATGTGTCCTCCAAAGAACAATTTTGAATTTTTTTTATTGTTAATGCCTCTTTTTATCTGTTTATATTGTAGTGCTTCCTCACCTAACAATGGAATGGGTGATGGCGGTTTTGAAAATGAAACTATTGCTCCATTATCTTCAGCATCTACAGCTGAATTGCAGCCTGTTGAACAGTCTAATGTTGTAAAGGTAGTTTAGCTTATTTTATGCATGGTGATCAGTGATCTTTGTACTTTGGAGTCTTGCATGTAAATATGCAACTGCTTCTTGCAGGAGCCAGGTCTCTCTGTACAGCCACCAAATTCAACACCAACCTCTGAGCGTCATGGAAGTAGTATTTCAGAGCCACTTTTGAACACAGGCGATGCTCTGGATAAATACCAGATTGTTTCAGAGAAGGTTCAGTACTTCTGTTTTATTTTATCTGTGTGTGTGTATTTTGCCCATAATGATAAATTACACTTTTGGATTATCAGATGGTATTCCTTGTTCACCCATGGTTCTGATCTTATCCTTGATAGATATCTGATTTTGTTGTTGGCTCCAAATATTTGGCTCTATAAAATGTTTTTTTTTTTTTTTTTTTTTTTTTTTTTTTTTTTTGTTTATCCCTAATGAATTCTAATTACTTGCACAATATATTGGAGGAAGACAGCTATTTTCATTTTGTTTTTGTCCTACGCTCCTATTGGGCGGTTTGTGTTAGGTGCGTTTTCGAGGTGGTAAAATAAGTCAAGTCAACATAGTCTATATAATTGTCTCAGTTTCTTTTACTATAAACTTCTTATGATGTAAATTTTAGTATAAATCAACAATTTCACCCATGCATAAACTTGACTGACTTTGAAGAATGTAAGAATAGGATGGTGGTGTCTACTGATTTGACTATTATTGATATTTTATATTTTATATTTTATATTTTATATTTTATATTCCTTGCTTTTATCTAATTTGACCATTTGTGTTTATTCTACAGCTTGAAAATCTGGTATCTACTGACGCTAAAGAAGCAGAAATTCAGGTATTCCCATTGCCTTTCTTTTTGTGGACTAATTCAGAATAAATTGAATTCTTTTAATTATAAAAAAATGGAATTGCTTCAAATTACAGCATCCACATTGTTATTTTTATTATCATTTATTATTCTGCTTTTAGAAATTGCTTCTCCAAACTTCATCAGGATGTGATTGCATGTAATTATATGGCTCTTTTGACAGGGTATTATTGCGGAAGTTCCTGCAATAATTCTCAGGTGCATTAGTCGAGATGAGGCAGCCTTGGCAGTGGCTCAAAAGGTGTGTTATTCACCAGCTTTAGGGTAGAATTGTATTCATCAGGTTTAATGTAGAGTTAATATTTTGTACACCTGATTTGAGGTGTCCTCATCTTTTTTAAGGTGTTCAAGGGATTGTATGAGAATGCGTCAAATACTGTGCGTGTAAATGCTCATCTTGCTATTCTGGCGGCTATCCGCGATGTCAGCAAGCTTGTTGTTAAGGAGTTGACTAGTTGGGTATGTTGCTGAAATATCTTTACTTGATTTTTTATTTTTATTTTTATTTTTTATACACATATAGTCGACACACATATTCTTATCATGTTATATACTAATGTATAATGATGTACCACTTTTTGAGGGTACTGAAGGAAGTATCATCTTCAAATCATATTTCATTGTCTCGTAATGTCTTACCCTTGAATTCTCTATTTCTCTCCCCCTTTTGATTTATTATTAGTAATTTTCGTTTGGGTGGGTAGTGGCTAATATGGTAAAAGATTTGCAGTCTAGTCTCACGCTGTCCTTTCCATCATCACTGAATTTTAAAATTCTGTTGATTAAAATTATATATGTTTTTTTGGCAGGTGACTTACTCTGATGAGGAGCGGAAGTTCAACAAAGACATTACTGTTGGTCTGATACGGAGCGAACTACTGAACCTAGCCGAGTACAATGTTCATATGGCAAAACTTATTGATGCAGGAAGAAATAGTATGTGGCCAATAACTTTTTACTGATATTTGCTTTTAGCATTTCTAATTGTTTGCTTATGATGCGCAGAGCCTGCAACTGAGTTTGCCATATCTCTCATACAAACTTTGGTGATGAGTGATTCCAGAGTCATATCTGAGCTACAAAATCTTCTGGATGCACTTGCAAAGGCAAGCTCTTACTCTTTATTATTTATTTATTTCTTTATTTTTTTTTCCAGACACAGCATTGGTCTTAATGTACTGGATTTTGAATATTTTGAAATCTGCAGCTTGCTGCTAGGCCTGGTTCTCCTGAGTCATTACGGCAGCTGGTTGAGATAGCTAAAAATCCTTCTGTTAATGCTTCTGCTTTGTCTGGTTTTACGAGCGGGAAGGAGGATAATATGAAACAACAACCTAAAGACAAAAAGGTTTTCCAAAATGGCTATTTTTACTCCGCTTAGTGCCTTAGTGTATTACCAACTTCTTTAAAAAACTGATGTCTGTGTTCATTTTGCGATAGGCTTCTGTGCTTCTTCAAGCTGGTAGAGATGACACAGGCTCTGATTCTGTTGAGCCTGACCCTGCTGGATTTCGTGAACAGGTATTTTTCTTACATATCTGCTTAGTTGTCTGATTCTACTTTCAGTTTTATAAGTGTTATATAATAAAACTAGACAAGGAGTAGGTTCTGATAATTTTGTTTCAATCAGCATTTCCTTCTGTTGTTGCTCATCTCATGGTGCCATGTGTCACACCCCACCTCCGGGACATGACCCTGCAATGGCATTAACTGTGATAATACGAAGCCTGACCAAACATTCTCAAGTCCTTTAAAAAAGCACTTATATTGGACACTTTAATAATCATATAAATAGTTCACAAATCATATTATATCGAATGCCCAAAATATAATTAGTTCATATCAAACCTACAATGGATATTCAAAGTAGAGATTTCAAATATAATAATGGGTTTTACAAAATGAACGGAGAAGGGTTAATAACTTACATTAAATCTTCTAAATCTTAGCTATTTAGCTCACCCAAATACTTCTTGCCAAAAGCTCTATTAATCAAACACCAATCTTTGGACTCCAATGATAAACCCAACACAAATAGAGTGAAAGGGGTTGGACTTACCTACCCAAATAATCCAAAGATTCAAGCTTGGTGGGAATGGGAGGAGGAACCCAACCTCACTCTTCTTCTCTTCTCTTGCCCGTAACTCTCTGTTTCTCTCCAATCCCTTCCAAAGTGAAATGGTGGCTATGTAAGGGTTCTACAGTGTATTGGGGGGGGGGGGTGCATTTAAGTAAATGGGCAGCCACATTATTCTACAACCAAACGGAAAGGAGCCCTATAATCTTTAATAATATATTATATTTCCATCTTAGTTAAAATTTAGAAATACCCATCTCTCTTATAATTTATTTATTTGGTGCCACTGCCTCTTTTCATTCTTGGCTCTTCTAGGTCTCCATGCTGTTTGCTGAATGGTACCGAATATGTGAACTTCCTGGAGCAAGTGAGTCTGCATATGCACACTATGTTATACAACTACACCAAAGTGGCCTATTAAAAGGGGATGATGCATCAGATCGTTTTTTCCGCCTGCTCATGGTTAATTCTCAGTGTCTTTCTTTTTCATGATTCAAAGTGAGAAATATGAAGCTTTTTAGATGAGCTAACTATGCTTTCCTCTCCAGGAACTTTCTGTATCACACTGCTTATCATCTGAGGTTATTAGTTCAGGTCCTTCTCAGTCACATCTAGTACCTCTGTCATTCCTTGCTATTGATATCTATGCCAAACTGGTGTATTCTGTTTTGAAGGTTGGTATTGTTTATCTCTCTCTCTTACCATTGTTTAGCTTTTCAATAGATATTATCTTTATTCGACGACCTGTTAGTATTTGTGTTTGATTAAACTTCTTGGGCTCTCTTTTGTGGTAGTTTTATCCTGTGGATCAAGGAGTCAGTAAACTTTCTCTTTTGCCTAAGGTATGAAATCTGTGTATGAAAGTTTAGTTGTTTTGTCTTAGATATGTAAAGCTCATGATTTCCATGACAGGTCCTTGCTGTAACAGTAAAGTTTATCCAGAAAGATTCAGAAGAGAAGAAGATATCCTTTAATCCCAGACCATATTTCAGGCTATTTATTAATTGGCTCTTGGATTTCTGTTCATTAGAACCTGTTTTTGACGGTGCAAACTTTCAGGTGGGTTCTCAGGATCTCTTCATTGCTGATGTTGGTGGTTCCTTAACTGTTGTATTCATTTATTATTTTTGTATGTATTTTTGTTTTCAGGTTTTGACTGCTTTAGCAAATGCTTTCCATGCTCTTCAACCCCTCAAGGTTCCAGGATTCAGGTTTGTCTTCTTCCATTATATAAGTACCATTGTTCTTTCAAATCCATATTTACTTCCAGGATAGAGATTTAGATACATTGTTGGGTTGATATTTTGTTGCTTTTCTTTCTATAATATTTTCCACTACAAACACTTTATCTTTCATTCTTTTGCTTACTTGAGGATTTTCTTTCAGCTTTGCATGGCTCGAGCTTGTTAGTCATAGGAGTTTCATGCCAAAATTACTCACTGCAAATGCTCAGAAAGGGTGGCCTTATTTTCAGCGGTTATTGGTGGATCTTTTCCAGTTCATGGAGCCATTTCTGAGGAATGCTGAACTTGGAGAAGCGGTTCGTCTTTGTTGAATGGATTTATTTAAGAGTTATTTCACATTTTATTGCTTTCATACAGTTCCGTCTTAACATCCTCCTCTCTTTTCTTCCTAAATTTTATTGTAGGTTCATTTCCTATATAAAGGGACGCTCAGGGTGTTGTTGGTTCTTCTGCATGACTATCCAGAGTTCCTTTGTGACTATCATTTCAGCTTCTGTGATGTTATCCCTCCGAGCTGCATACAGATGCGAAATATTATTCTTAGTGCATTCCCTCGCAACATGAGGCTACCTGATCCTTCCACTCCCAACTTAAAGGTGATGATTCAACAAAAAATCCTCGCTAACAATTGCTCTAATCATTCTGAGTTTGGAAAATAAACCTCTTTTGTTTGCTTTTAGATTGATCTACTTGCAGAGATCAGTCAATCCCCACGCATTCTTTCCGAGGTTGATGCTGCTCTTAAAACAAAGCAGATAAAGAGTGATATAGATGAATACTTGAAGGTAGATCTAAAAGAGAATAATTTCATCATTCTTCAATTTGGATGTACTTTTCAAATGAGGGGAATACTGCTCTTGAGTTTCTCCTCTCTAAAGTCACTTTTGCAATCGCTCAAACCTTTTCTTTGTCTCTATTTATATGAAAACTATCTTCATTGTTCTCATTAATTCTGTTCTTGCATGGATCACTATACAGACAAGGCAACAGGGGTCTCTGTTTCTTACTGAGTTGAAGCAAAAAGTGTTACTCTCTCCCACTGAGTCTGCCCGTGCTGGGACTCGTTATAATGTCCCTCTCATAAACTCCCTTGTACTTTATGTTGGGATGCTGGTATGTACATATGATACATACTACAGTTTCTGGAAATTCTCTTATCACTATATCATGTTTAATCTTTTCTTTTCATCGTGTAATTGTTGAATCACGTTCCTTTAGGCTATACAGCAGCTGCAGGCAAGAACAGCTGCTCATTCACAGTCGATGGCAAGTAGTGGTGTTTCATATCCTGTTTATTTGGTGGGTGCTGCTCTGGATATATTTCAGTCATTTATAATGGACTTGGATACTGAGGGGCGTTACCTCTTCTTGAACGCTGTTGCTAACCAATTGCGTTATCCAAACAACCACACGCATTACTTCTCCTTCATTCTCCTCTACCTCTTTTCAGAATCAAATCAGGTGTGTTTTAGCCTCACTTCTTTTTTCCCTGAGAATTTAATGGTTAAATGTTTCTTCTGATTTGATCTTCTTTGTGTTTGATGATGAATTGAATTGCAATTGAATCTGCTAGGTTCACCTTAGCAGATGTAGGCATTCTATTATCATAGAAAGTTCTAAAATCAATTCCTGTTCTTAATTTGTGAATTTTATATATTGGTACATCAAGCAGGAAGTAATCCAAGAACAGATCACGAGAGTCCTATTGGAGCGCCTAATTGTCAACCGACCTCATCCATGGGGACTTCTTATCACTTTCATCGAGCTCATAAAGGTAATGCTTGTGATATTGTGCCAAGTAAAATTAATTCACTCAAAGTTTTGGTGTCCTCTATTGATTTTGTTTGTGCCTTTGCAAAAGTTTATGGCCTCTTTAACATATGGGCAATTAGGGGTAACCCCATCCAAGATGGCAAGAGATCCACACTTGTAACCACAAGGTCACAAGTTCAAATCCTTGCTCCCTTGGTTTGAACCGGTTGGCTATGACTGGTTTACTTCCTTGTGGTCCTTTGCCGGCTAGGGTCCAGAAGTCGGGGTTTACTCTCACTCAAAAGGGTTATGGGGTTACCATCGTCATCCAACTAGGCTTTGGGATGGTTCACAATGGGTTGATCCATTCACCAATTTATTGAATCCATTAAATGGTCGGTCTGAACTGTAAATGTGTCCATATAAACATAGATGGGTGCCCATTTATCAGTTTTATTACATGGAATAGGTAGACAAGACACATTGATATGAATTCCATAGCAACTAGCTTGGGAATGGGATGTATTATTATCTTCAGTCTTCACGGGCTCTTAATGCCAGTGTTGCAAAAATCGCGCCTAGGCGCTAGGCGGTCGGCCACCTAGGCGCCGATTAATCGCTCTAGGCGCCCGCCTAGGCGGTTCCCAGGTGCCTAGAGGGCGCCTAGCGATTTTTTCAACCATGCTTAATGCTCACTTATATTTTCTTTTGGCAGAATCCTCGATATAACTTCTGGAGCAGATCATTTACTAGGTGCGCACCTGAAATCGAGAAACTTTTTGAATCAGTTTCGAGGTCATGTGGGGGCCCTAAGCCAGTAGATGACAGTGTGGTTTCTGGTGGGATTCCCGACAACATGCACTAATTCCATGTATCCTGCTGTGTCTTTGTGTGTTTACATTAACAACGTACAGTCTTTTGCTACTTAGCTAGTTCAATCACCATCACTTCAATTTCGTATCTGATTATTGCATATGTAACTTTTGTTTTGCAGCCAGCTAGTTGTAGTGTAGTGTAGATAAGTTGGCTACTTTTTCCGTACATGAAAAGATTTTTAAAACATTGTTGTAACATTAGATTATGAATGAATTGAACTATAATTTTATTGACATCTTTTTACTATTTTTAGGACAGTGCTACATAATAATAACAACAAAATAAGGACAATCTTAGATGTCTTTACATTTGTAATTCAGAAAAAAGCCATCTCTTGTTCTAATAGAACTAGTCATTTCATGATTGGTTTTGTTTAAATGAGAATTGGGCTACTTTTTAAGATTGATTTCAGTCAAAAAAAAAAATACTTCATGGACTTTCAAAATCTTATTCCCATCTTTTATTCTTACTTGTGTTCACATTTGATTGGAGGAAAAAAAAAAAAAGAAATGGATTATGATTCCCTATTAAAAAAGTAATCAAGGCATGTCATATTATAGAGAATACAAGATGGGAGTTCATATATAATTACTCTTTCAGTTGTTATCAGCCTCATCATTGATTAAGGGTTTAAAAAATAATTAGGTTAATAATTATTTCGAACTTTTAAGTTTGTAAATGGATGGATGATATGGGAGGGTTCGGGTGAAGATATGAGTGGTTCTTTCATTGCTTTGACAGAATGGATGATAAAGGAGTAAGGCTGCCACGAAGAAAATGCAATTAACCACTCAATTAGGAAAAATTGTAAAATGATGCAATTGTACCAAATAACAGGTTACTTTATTTTGTTCACAATTAATGAACTCTATGTTTATAATTACTATACTATATGTTCATAATTATAAAGATATATTCATAATTTTTGAATTTCATAATCATAATTATTGAATTTTATATTCACAATTACAGAACTCTATGTTCATAATTATTGAAGTATATATTCATAATTATAAAACTATATATTCATAATTTTTGAACTTTATATTCACAATTATTGAATCTCTATATTCATAATTATGTTCACAACTCTATGTTCATAATTTTTGAATGATATATTCATAATTATGAATAGTTTTGGAACCATGTCCATCTTGCAAGGTGGACACGGTTCAACAACATAATTTCCCTTGTACTTTCATATTTAGTTGATTAGTCTATTTGCACCTTATTCCATTTTACAATAACAGAAAAATACATATAGAAAGGTGCAAATGACAAATGTGCCAATTTGGGATAAATGGTTGAGAATTTTTAAAAAATTAAGGGTAAAAGGGGTAGAGTTTTTTGAAACGGGGTAGAAAGGGGTGGAGTTAGTTTTATAATATTGCAAAATTGAAAGTTTACATTAATTATAAAATTGAATTTGTGCATTTTTGTTTTTACTAAAATCTTCGATCATTGATGAGTCATGATGGATAAGTATGATCCATCCTCACTTTTTATAGGAGAGATTGTTCTCATTTGAACTTCCCTCCAACCCCCCCCCCCCCCCCCCCCCCCCCCCCAAAACATCCACACAGTCTAAATCAACGGCTCTAAAAAAGGAGAAATTTGTTTAAACTGTACTATAAATTTGTGCACTTTATAGTATATATACTTATGCACTTTCAAATATCAATTTAGGAAAAATTTGGTGACATTTTTGTAAATATCAAACTAATATTACTCTTTGCACTCGTAGTATAAAATTTATGCACTTTGTAGCATAAATCTGTGTACCTCAAAAAAAAAAAAAAACCAAAATGTCACAACTTTTTTTTTTTTTTTTTTTTTTTTTAAATTTCTTACATTTATTTATTTATTCATTTAAAACAAGGAATTGCAAACAATCACCATCTCCGTTCCCTAAATAGTATCCCCATCTCCATCCCTGGTGGGGCACAAGGACAGGGATCGGGGATTGAAAATTTCCATCCCTATTCAAAGTAGTTGATGAGTGTTGGTAAATTTTGGACATTCTTTCAATTAAATAATCCAAAATTCTAGGAGAGTCACTGAAAAATTGGCATCTTCCTTTTCCCAGTTGTCATTTCTTCTCTTCATGTCTTTCTCCCTTTCCTCCCACCTTCGTCACCATTAATGGCTCCTTCTAACTAAGGATGTTACATCACCCCATCCTCCTCCAGATGATCCTTGTCCCCAAGGATCAAAGGAAGGGAATTGGCTTCGCATATGGTAATAATCCTCCCAAGTGGCCTCATCTGGAGGCAAATGAGCCCACTGAACCAATATTTCAGTCAGTGCTTTGTTATTCCTCTTCACCAACCTTTTGCCTAACACAGCCATGGGAGCTGCCAGAACCTGCCCTTCATTCCCCACTGTAGGAAGGTCAAGTTGGGCTCCTATCCATCTCCAATCTTTTTCTTGAGCTGAGACATACGAAACACGGGATGTAATAGTGATCCTGAAGACAACAATAACCTGTAAGCAACCTTCCCAATATTCTCCATCACCTTATAAGGTCCATAATATTTAGAGGACAACTTCAAATTTTTTCTCACAGCCAAGGTCACTTGTCTATAGGTTGAACCTTAAGGTAAACCCAATCCCCTATTTCCACGGACCTCTTACTTCTCCCCTTATCTGCCTGAACCTTCATTCTATTCTGAGCCTCTTTCAAGTTTGCTTTGAGTGCCACCATGACAGCTTCTCTTACTGCCAATCAATCAAGGTTCCTATCCCCTGGATTTGAATTAAAGGCCATCAGAGGAGGAGAGTATCCATTTAGGGCTTGGAATGGTGTACACTTGAGGGAGGAGTGGTAGTTGGTGTTATACCACCACTCAACTTAATGCAGTCACTTTCCCAGCTTCTAGACTTTTGAAAGATTATGCACCTTAAGCAACTTTCCACACACTGGTTCACCTTCTCAGTCTCCCCATCTGTTTGAGGATGATAGGCAGTTGAGAGGTTCAACTTCACCTGCATATTCCTAAATAAAGCTTGCCAGAATTTGCTAGTGTCTTACCTTGTCTCTGTCTGACACAATGCTCCTTGGTAGCCCATGTAACTTGTATATATTTTCCATGAATAATTCTCGCAGTATAGGGGTGGGCAAGGACAATGAAATGAGCATATTTGGTCAGTCTATCAACCACCACCGTTATTACCTCCTTATTGTTGGACTTGGGAAGACCTCCTACAAATTCCATGAATATGTTTTGCCAGGCTTCTTCAGGGACATTTAATTGTTGCAAGAGACCAGGACTAGCCACATTCTCATTTTTGCATCTCTGGCAAATGTCAGAGCTTCTCACCAATTCCATAACATCCCTTTTCATGCCCTTCCAATATAATAGGGACTTCATCCTTTGGTATATTCTATTCTGTCTAGAATGACCTCCAATGGAAGATTCATGCAACTTTAACATTAGATCCTTCCTCAGGTTCCTTGCATATCCCACATACAATATGTTTTTGTACCTCACAAGGCCCCCAATCACAAAAACCTTGGGATCAACAGCAGGACTTATTAATGCAGAAGTAAGATTCTCAGTGGCCCAACTGTCATTGGCATAACTTTTGATAATCTCCTCCATCCACTAGGGTTGGTTCACTGAGATGGAATATGTTATTGCCTCCACCTCAGTCTCTCTTCTTGACAATGCATCTGCTGCCACATTATCATCCCCCTTTTTTGTACTGGATTGAATAATTCAGTCCCAGTAACTTAGTCAGCCATTTATGTTACAGGCAGTGGATATCTTTTGTTCCAACAAGAATTGCATGCTATGATACTTTGTTTTAATATTAAAATATCTTCCCAGCAGGTAGGGTATCCATTTATCCACAACATTGATGATGGATAAATATTCTCTCATAGATGGACAACCCTAAGTGTTTCTTTCTAAACGCTTTGCTGGAAAAGCAATGCGCCTACCCTCTTGTATTAGGATATCCACCATCCCTTTATAGCAAACATATGCCTCTACCACAAATTCCTTCTGAAAATCAGGGAGAGCTAGAACAGGTGATTGACACAGGGCACTTTTCAACTGCTCAAAAGCCCTCTCAGCCCCTTTAGTCCATCAAAATGCATCCTTCTTCAACATGTTTGTGAGAGGTTTACTAATGAATCCATAAGCCTTAATAAATATCCTGTAATAACCTGCTAAGCCTAGGAACCCTCTCAAAGCTTTGACAGTCATAGGTTTAGGCTAAGCAGCCGCAGCCTCAAGCTTGGCTGGGTCTATCTGCAATCCCTCCTTGGAGATAATATGCCTAAGATATTCCACTTGTGTTTGAGCAAAGAAACACTTGCTCAGCTTGGCAAATATTTGATGTTACTTCATGATTACCAATACTTCCCTTAGGTGCTGCCAATGATCCTCCAAGCTCATACTGTATATGAGAATGTCATCAAAGAACACAAGAATTGATTTTCTGAGCAGGGGTTTAAACGATTCATTAATGCCTGGAAGTTTGATGGGGTATTAGTGAGCCCAAATGGCATTACCTTGAACTCATACAATCCTTGATGGGTTTTAAGAGCTGTTTTGTACTCATCCACCGCCTTCATCCTAACATGGTGGTAACCAGATCCCAAATCCAGCTTAGAAAAACATGTTGCACCAGCCAATTCTAAGTACAAATCTTCCACCAAGGGTATTGGGAATTTGTTCTTAACAGTAATATTATTAAGACCTCTATAATCAATGTAGAATCTCCAAATGTTGTCTTTCTTAGGTACTAACAACACAGGGGAAACAAAACATGAAGTGCTGGGAGTAATAAACCCAACTGTGAGTATTTCCTCCACTAACCTTTCAATAGTGTTTTTTCTGATTAAAAGAATACCTATAGGGACCAATGTTGATGGGCTTAGCTCCTGAAATTAGGGGAATAGTGTGGTCAAGGGTTCTTTGGGGTGGTAAGGTTGAGGCCTTGGCAGATTGAGTCACTTACCACCTTTTCCCCATTACCAACTGTAACCATTAGGGGTTGTGCCTTCTCAGGTTCTCTCCTTAATTGGCATAATAATTTGGGATCTTAAAAAATGTGTGTACTACCACTTTAATCAAAATGACCACTAGATGCTTCTGTATATTGCCTAACAACTTGATGTTGTCCAATCCTTCTCCCCCTACCACATCCCAAAGGGAGACTTCAGCTTCCTCAAGTTCCTGTCTTTCTCCTTCATGTCCAAGTATTGCAGGTGGCTTAGTGTCCCCTTGCTCTTCTATGATATTAAAAGTAGGGAATTTACATCTGTGCCTTGGCTGCCAAGGGTCAAAGCATCTAAAACATCTCTTATGCTCTCTTAATTGATTCTTAAATTGGGTGATATTTGGGGCTTTGGATGCAGTAGTCTGGGTTGATGGTGATGGTTTTGGGTGGGAATTGGTGGATGTAAGGTCATTTGAGTTGGAGTTAACGTTCCTTGAGGGTTGTAAAACCTTGGCATTCCTGGATGGTTTCTTAGGTTCCTCATGAGTTTTTAAACCTTTCTCATATTGCATAGCAAACCAAATAGCATCTTCCAACCCCCTTGGTCTTGCAGTTTTAACAAAACACCTCAAGTTCTGCTTTAGCCTAGAAATGTAATTTTCCATGTAATAGTTTTCAGTCGTGTAAGGGTGAGCCTGCAATAACAGACTTCTAAATCCCTCATATTCATTAGTGAAGTCATCCACTCCACCCCACTGTCCCTAAACCTCTTACACATAGCCTCAACAAAGACTGCTCAGTGAAACCCTTCTCTAAGATTATGAACATAGCTTTCAAACCATATCCCCACCTTCCCAGATGCACATATAGTAAATTAAGGATTTCATGTCTAAGGATATGGGAAAGTAGAAAAAACTTCTCACACCTCAATATCCACTGTCTAGGATGAGTGTAATCAAAAGAAGAAAATTCACTTTTGTACCTCATAAGGAACTCTTGGTTCTGTCCAGCCATTCCTTGCCTAACGCAATCCATGCCATCTCTCCTGGGAGTCAATTCCCTCTAGGCTCTTCCTAACTAGCCAAATCCCATAGGAATTTTCTCCCTTGCATTTACTCTCTCATCTTCTTCTTCCTGCAGAGGAGCCTTGTCAGGCCTTCCCTCCGGTTCCTGACTTGGTTCCTCTGGATACTGCCCCTGAACTGAAGACTGCCCTTGGGAGTTTCCCATGATTGGAGGAGCTGGCCGATTCAGCCTGAGCAGTTTAAACATTTCCTCTTTCAAGCTTCAAAACTGGGTAGATAACTCATTGACAGAGTCCTATGTGGCTTGAAATTGAGAGTCAATCTTGCTGTTGAGCTCGATCACATCAGTTTCTAGCTTCTTAATACGGTCATCCATGTAGGGCTCTGATACCAATTGCATATTACTTAGGAGAAGAATAGAAAACAGAAGTAGGGAAGGTGAGAATTTAAGGTTTGAGAAGATAAAGAAGAGAAAGAAGAAGAGAGAAGAAGGAGATTATTCTTATTGTTCAGCATAAAAACCCACTACTAACATCATGGAGCTAAATACAAGCCAATAAGGCCAAAAACTAACTTCCTTCTTTACAGGCTCCACAACAAAAGAAACTGCTGGAAGCCTGGAAGGAGTTGGGAAACGACATCGTCTGACAAGGCTTCAACAGACTCCAACGGTTAGCTTCAAACGACGTCGTCTGAACCTCTACATTCAACGGTTCTCAACTTCCTTCACATACGGTGCCGTTTTGTATATCTCCCTTTTTCCTATTGCCAAAACTTCTCTTCCTGTCTTCCTCCTTTTCCTCCCATTTTCCTCACCATTAATGTCTCCTTCTAAGGATGTTACAGAGACTTTGTACTTGTACTCATGTTTGTTGGGATTTGCCACTGAATTTGTTAATCTTGAATTGTACAAAAATTGGTACTTCTGCAGCCCCGACTGCAACCTGTGGTGTAAGAGGACAGCAAGGGGGGCTGCAAGTGGTACAATGCTCCAATTTTGCACTCCCAATGTTGTGCATGTCAAGGGCAAATTATTATACCGTGGATGTTTATTTTTAATATATTAAAAGTATATTATTTGTGTACTAAATGTTAATTATTTGATAGTATACTAAATAATGAATCTTCAGTACTCAAATAATGTACATTCAAAAAATAATTTTTTAGTGTATTAAAAATATATTTTTAGTATATTAAATTATTAAAAATGTACCTTATGACAGTGGTATACTTTACAAGGTAAATCATGATCCATGGCATAATGATAACTTGTCATGAGATTGTTATATCGTGGACCTTGGTCCAATACGACGTCGTTTCGGTTAAGTTGGTGGGGAGTTGACGCAATGGACACCGTTTCGTCTGTCCAATCTCGTTACAATTTTTTTTTAAACACTTGTTTTTATGTGTATTATGTTAATAGTTTATGTGTATTCAACTATAAAATTTTGTACATTATGAATTTCAATTCCATATCTTAGTAGACATATATGATATTACTAAGACTTATGATTATGTATTATGTTAGGAATTTATATGTATTCTACTATACAGTTCTATACATTATGAATTTCAATTTCATACCTCTGTAAACATAAATGATGTTTCTAAAACTTGTGTTTATGTGTATGACGCTAAGAGTTTATGTGTATTCAACTATATAATTATGTACATTATGAATTTAATTCATACCTCACTAGACAAAAATGATACTCCCTCCGTCCCGAATTGGTTGTCTCATTTGCTTTTTGCACGCTTTTTAAGGAATTAAAGTAAATGTTATGTATTTTCCAATTATGCCCTTCACTTTTTCACTTTTGGAAATAAAAGCAAAAGTCATAAGGGTAATTTGGGAAAAAGTAGAATGATGGTGATGTTCAATTTTGGAAAGAGGACAACATTTTGGGACAAACTAAAAAGGAAAGTAAGACATGCAAAATGGGACAGAGGGAGTATTTCTTAGACTTGTGTTTATGTGTATTCAACTATACAATTCTGTACATTTTTGAATTTAAATTATATACCTCAATATACAAAAATGATATTTCTTAAACTAATGATTATGTGTATTATGTTAGAAGTTTATGTGTATTCTACTATACAATTCTGTACATACGAAACATGGAATTTTGTTTTAGAAGTTAACGGCAGAAACGAGATTAAAGAAAAACCGTAAATGAATATAAACAAAACGACGTCGTTTTGGACCAAGGAGCACAATACATTATGCATCCTGGTCCACGATATAATTTGTCCTTGTTATGAGCATTGGCTTTAAAACATCGTCAATAGTTCTAGTTTTTGAAAAGTTTTTGCATATGTGACTAGAAAAGAAAAGATGGGAGTGAAGAGAAAAATGAAAAAAAAAAAAAAAAAAAAAAGCTGAAAACCAAAAAAAAAAGGGGAGGGGGGGGGGGGTGGGGAAAGCGACATTAACGCCACGCTGTGTTGAGTTTCACATAACCTGGGCGCGAAGTGATGTTTTCCTTGGTAGGTCCCATATTTCTGATAAAAACCAATGCTTCGCAGGGTGACTTATTATTATTATTATTATTTTCTCTTCTCTCTCCTTACCCTCTCTCCTCCACATAAACTTGTTTTCTCAAAAATCACACTAAGATGCATTGATGGGATGCTCATCCACTCTCTTCATGTTATGGGCAACTCGTACTTGGTCGGCAAAGAAGCTTAGATGAAATTTGGGCAGATGGCTTTACCAATAACCAATATTTACATTTCTATACTATGCCTTGATGTCCAAAAGGACCTAAGCCATACATGGGTTTGTAAGAGCAGTCAGTCTGAAATAGATGATTCATGTCTTGTAGAAATGTAGATGTCTCTTAGCACTGGGAAGGAAAAATATTTTCGAAAAAGTGGCGCACGTCTCCTTCATTCATTACATCAAAGGCTAACATCTTCTCCACTGCATCCTGCATTTGAACTCCACACAAGTGTGTTTTCAAATTATATAAAAGATTAATCCAACAAAAAAAATACTATTACTGGATGGATATCAGTATATATATCACCTTATAGTGCTGATCCTGAACCAATATATTTTCGCTACAGAGCCGCTCAACATGCCATTCATTTTTGAGAGCATCCAAAACAAGCACTGCTCGCTTCACAACATCCTCGGGTATTCCTACATTTATAACATTAAGATAGTTTACTGGAGGATAATGTTCTATTGAAATTTGAGGTTGAACTTGTAGATTCTAAACTATTAGGACTGGGTGGTATATTCTAAGTTGGTGTTCCAGGTCAGCAGGAACACTGCAAATATATCTGGCTTTTTCATCCAATGCAAGGCTCCTATATCTGGGGAGGGACACAACTTGCCTCTGAATACAGAGAGGGACCTGAACTTATAAGATGTGAGTAGTGTACTTTTATCACTAAACTCAGTATGTTCCCATATTGATTGGTTTGCTATTTTAGAAACGAGGTGTATGGGGGCACCGGATCTATATCATGAACGTTTCAATAGATGAATTCATGAAGTTTGGATGCTTAAGGTTCTATTTGGTAAAGCTGAAGTTTGGATGCTTAAGGTTCTATTTGGTAAAGCTGAAGTTTGGATGCTTAAGGTTCTATTTGGTAAAACTTATTTTAGAGCTTATAGTTTATTTTAAACTACAAATAAACTATAAGCTCTGTTTGATAAAACATGAGAAACTTAAAATAATAGCTCTTTTAAAACGCTACTTTAAGTAGTGTTTCAAAATAAGCTACCAGCTACTAGCTACTAGCTTTAAGTAGTGTTTCAAAATAAGCTACCAGCTACTAGCTACTAGCTTTTAAGCTAGTTATGCCAAACATAGCCTATGCATTATTGAGTTTGAAGGGATTTTTCTAAAACTACCTGCAAGCTGTGCACAGTGTAACCCTGCATCAAATTGAAGTATTTAGTGATAGTATAAGACCTCTAACTACAAACAACTTTCAATACAAAACTGCTATTAGACACTTACCAAAGCTAAGAAGTGCCCGACCAGGAACCAGCCTACCAGACAATGGACATGCAGGGTCATTTTTCATATATATATGATCTTGGCAAAACTCATAAATGACAAATGAAGCTTTGTATGTAAAACTAATGATGTAGTCTGCATCTTAACTAAATCACTTGGTGCAGGAATGAATATGATACAACATAATTATATTATTATGGTCTAATCTTCTCACAATTGAACAGAGTAGCAGAGATATACTGTGAATGGAAGTTATATAGCAGGGAAATGCCAAGATGACACTAGAAATGATATTAACAAATTCATCGAAGTAAAACTAGAATACCTGTACAAGAATACAACATCTTCAAGATCTGCAGAATTTTTCTCGGGACTTAACACACTCATGTTGTAATATTTGATCCTTTCTGACTGAAATTTAAACAAAAAAAAAAAATATTTAAGAAAATGGCCTGAGATGGTGTTACAACCTAGAAATTGGAAAAAACTTGATATCTGATGTGACCAGCAAGTTGTAACATCCTACCTCCAATAAGCATCCACTGTCAAATATCTCAGTCAAGTGAGTACAAACCAGAACCTGCTATTCAATTTGAGACTTTCGATTATATAAACTTTTTGGCAAAGACTTAAGTCAACAGATAAGCTGAACAAGAGGAACTTGTGAGTTCAGGCTTTCTAGTAAGGATACAATGCCCTGTATCACTTTATGGCTTCTCAATGGAAGTAGGTTAGGACATGGTAATTTAAGAGTGATGAGAGATACTACAAAGTAACAAAGAGATGAGCTTTTCCCAGAAAATGTAAAAAAAGCAACATTGACAGTAAAAATTGTGACAAAATATCAACTCGTGTTTTTTAGCAAAGATTTCTGCAACTACTTAGATGCATAGAAATGCTGGTCTTATGTAGTTGAGTTGGACATTGGCATGGTCAGATGTATCCCAGTATTTGCATAGAGGCTGCTTTTCTGACTCATACCAGTGACATTCACAGGTTATGGTTGAGCTATCTTACCATTAAGCTAAGGTTTTCCCTTCATGGTACAAATTTAAATGACAGACAAGAATATATGCAGTTATCAGAAAATAACAAAATGAGGAAGGAATTCCAGACCTTTGGAGGGTCATAACATGAGACAAAATGATTTATAACTCCACCAAGGAGACCAATGCCATCTGACATGAGGAATAAGATATGTTATAGAACTTATACCTCTATATAACAGTAGAAAACTAAGGGCAGTACTTTTTTCCAAATTGTTTGGAATCGTCCCAGTCAAATGGTTAATATTTGCAGAGAGTTTTTTGAGGCACAAACTGAAGGAACTATAATACGAGTTTATAGCAAATTGTATCCAAACAAAGCATGCACATAAATCAATGAGGTCATAGATTTATTTTGAAATGGAGTATAGAGAGATTGATGGGGTCAAACTGCTACTCAAACCAACCTTCAGTAAGAGTGCCTTTACCAAATTCATCCAACAAGCATAAGGATCGAGAAGTTGCATGCCTGTAATGTTCACGTATATGTGTGTAAGAATTAAGATAATGCACAGATGAGTAATAAAGGTAAATTATTAGGTAGGCTATGGCGCACCTAGCTTGCTAGGTGCACTATATAAATGAAGTTCAGATTGTATGAAGTAAAATTATTAGGTCTGCTATGGCAATAATGTTTTGATTCTAGTATATTTATAATGATGTTAATGTTATCATAACCTAGACATTATTATAGTACTCTGTATAATCTAAACATTCCAACGTGGCACACATAGCTCATATGCCATGGCCTAACTAATAGCTACTGGAGCAATATATATTGGCAGAAAACTCACCAATACCATCAACTTTAAGCATTTTATCCATTTCTTTATCCTTTATCTTTGGATCACATTAGGACTGTATTTAAAAGCCAGTTTTTCACTTGATTCTTTAAAAAAGAGCATTCAGCATGTCCCTATTCAGCATTTATTACTTAACTTCTTTGTAGAACCCTTAGACTTTAAGAATATATTCGGTTGCATACCTTAACATCATTCCCACTTGATGCAGATCAATCATAAATGTCGACTGTTCAGCAGTCATAAACTTGGTTCCCATTGCACAAAATATCCTGTCATTTAGAATTTGCTACTTATAATTATATTTCACAAAATTCATTAATCTTCTCAACAAAATCAATTAATTGGTATTTAGAGAAGGAATTGACTATTTGGTTTCATAAATATGCACATATAATTACATAAAAAGTAACAAATAAATTAATTTATACACGATGGGAAAATATCAGTACCTGTCAGTCAATCCCACTGTGGCTGCCTCAGCTGGTACAAAACTTCCAATGTGAGAAAGAAAAACTATTAAAGCAACCTAAGAAAATGTTTAACATATTAGAACAATAATAATTAGACACCAAAATATCATAGAAATGTAAGACAGAGACATCACCCACCTGCTTTACATAGATACTTTTACCAGAATAATTAGGACCTGTGATAATATTAACCTTTCCTGAAAATTCTACAACCAGCAGCATGACACGTGATGCTTACAGGAAATGCATTGTTCTAATGGATCAATCTCAGAGGAAAAATTTCAAGTACCTTCATCTAAAATCTTTGTATCATTGGGAATGAATGTATCAACTGTCATTTCCTGCAAAAGATGTCTGACAAAAGGACTATTTTCATGGCCTTTTATATGGGTGTCAAATGGTCCAAACTAATTTGAAAGTTGAAATTGCTACTACATTGTGAGAACAAGGTACTCTAAATTCAACTTAAGAAATCTCACCTTCCATTATGTATATCAAGAATATTTTCTGCAGTCAAGGTTGGCCTTGCATAATTGTTTTGACGAGCAACCAATGTTAATGACAAGAGACTAGAGGGAAGGCAATATACTGTCAGAAAGTTAGTTAAACTAAAACAAAAAATATGGTATTTCACTCAGAAAATCAAGGAAACATAAATACCATTATTGAAATTCTCACCAATCAAGCTCAGCTGCAAAATTAACAGCATTGTGGATGGGCACTACAAACTGCAGGATGTGTGACACAAGGTCCCTTGTAATTGCTCTCTCCATATCTACATACAACTTAGATGAAAAACAAAAACAAAGGTATGGAACCAGAACAAGTTTGAATTATTATATATTACTCCACGTCAACTTGAACCTATAAAAAATTAAAGCATCATTCACCTTATATATATACTCATACAATCATACGAAGTTTTGTTCTTTTGGTAAGAAATCAAGTCCTCTACCTCTTATTCAACAAATATTCATAAATCTAAAGCCATTAGGATCACCATATGGAAATTTTCATCAGAGTGTCCACTAAGGCATACCCAGGATTTTATGGTATATATCTCCAAGAAGAGTATCCAATTCTCGTGTTTTTGAGGTGCGGTAAAAGAACTTCTTGGTATCTCCATCCTCATCAAGAAACTATGAAATCAACCAACAGCATTGGTGCAGATAAGCATGTTACAACTGCAGAATGTGTAATCAGTAGTAGAAATTGGCCAAGTGACATACAGCAAACTCAAAATCAGGAAGTTTCTCTTGCATTTCTTCATCGAGTTTTTCATTGAAAATGCACAACAAGTAGCCTGTATGTTAACAAAACAGAAAAGAAAGGAAACATAAAATATTACAACAAAATCTTTATTGAAGTACAACACTTTTTTGTCAATACATCAATAATGGATGTGTAAACAAAAAGCGTCAGTGAAACATATTTAAATGAGCTCACCATGCTGGAATGCCACAGCGTAGTCACAAAACTAGACTTGGTATGTCATATGTGATATAGTTTCAGTTTCCTTTTAAATACTTTGGGAGGGGAAGGGGGTTAATCTAATTCTAGTTACTACTAGTTCTGACAGTTTATACAGATTTATAGGTGGCCCAAGATACTTTTACATACTTCTGAAGGCCTGTATATACTCTTCTGTTTTATATGTAAGCTGTCATTTTTTTATGAACTAATCATTACCACTTATCTGATTCTATGGGTAGGTACCAGTGTATCACAAAAAGTTATGTCCACTATATTTCCTTTGTCAAAAAAGAAGTGTCACCACAATCAGTATTGATGGTTACTAATGACAAAGAACTCCCAATCAAGTGAATAGCATGTTATTCAAACAGAAATTGCAGACAGGCAATAGCAAAATGATCACTGGTAGAAGACACACCTATTTGATGTATATAGACAATACAAGGGAGACCATTTTCCCCAACCATGCGAGGGAGTCTTGCAAGTTCCAATGATGACACCTGTGGAACAGTCTATATCAAATCCTGTCTATACAAAATTTCTCTGCAGTCAAACTGATTAACTGAAAACATAAAAGCAAGGACCTCTTCCAGAAAGTCTGGCAATCCTTCATATATTTGCCTCAGCTCATCCAACTGCAACAGAGTGAACAAAATGAATACAATAAAACAACTAAAATGTAGAGTAGTTAGCAAAATTCCACCTCATTACAGAAGCCATCTTTCACAATCGTCTCATAACCCTTCTGTTTACTTCTGTTTACATCAAGAACACCAATCACCTGCACAACGTATCCAGATTCACAAGTCAACAGTCATATAGTTACTACTAGTCATCCATAAACCATAACTTTCAAGTAAACGAAAAATATAAAGCTAGTAAAAGAAAATTGTAGAAGCATAACAATGAAGAGGATAGACAGAGACCCATTGAAGGAAAGAGCTAAAGCAAGGCAAAGATGAAAAATGTATGTGAGGGTAATAGCATAATGAGCAAGTGACTACAAACAAGAATTAAACTTCAAAGGTAGAGCTTTGAGGTCACTTCCAATCAAAAGTTCCGAAACAATGCTCCTTAATATATATTTATTATGAAGAGCATAGATATTGACACAACAAAGACAAGTGTGAAAGCTAGATAATGACAAACCTAACCATCATAACAAAACTTAGCAAATGATTAGAACACTAGAATAAAACTTCTAAGGTAAACTTATGATGAGAGTTCTAATCAAAACTTCCCAAGCAATGTTCTTTAATAATATATAAGAAGTACTTGTTTCAACTTTCAAAAATCAGATATCAGTTGCTCATCCCACTCCAAAAATTCTTGTGAGGATTAATACAGGAAAAGCACATTCTGCACTTTAATACTTTATAGAGTCAAGTTTGCATATGTATATGAAAATCTCTGTAACACATGCATCTGAAGTAATACTGAAGTTCTAATATGAATTCATGACTGCAGTGAAGAGAAAACTGCTCCAAGGTGCCTTGAATATCATGCAATAATAAAAGAATAAAGGAAAAATAGCTAACCAGTTCACAAATAAATGCCAGATCACTTGAAAGGTGATCACCAGCCTGCAAAATGTTAGAACTCTGTGAACTAACAAACTAAAGAAGTTATACAATGAAGGAAAAGTTGAGACCTAAGCTAATACCTTCTTAACAATACCTAAGTTCAAATACTTCAACTGTTCTCGAAGATCTTCAGAAATGCCCACTTCAAAGATTTTGTTGATATGCAAGAGTGAGCAAATGCTCTGGAGAAACTAAAACGTCAGATGTTGAAAATGCAATGTATGGAAGGAACAAATGCTAGATCATTTAAACTGAAGAAAATCAGAAAATTGCTGGTCTACCTTAAGAAATGCAGCCCAGTCCGTACTTGTACATGTACAACTTGGGGAGTTGAATTTCTTCCAGTGGCATGAGAGAGAGAGAGAGAGAGAGAGAGAGCTAAAGTAAGATCTTCATGGAAAACGTAGAAAAATTACCAGTAGAGATAGGATTGAACTTGTAGCAAGAATGATAATGGAACACTAATAGGATTTCCAAAACTGGTTAATCAAATGCGAATGCCAACAATTTAAGACAAATACATTGAAACAATAGAACATCTTTTTTGATAAACTTCAACTGAGCATATGCAAGTGAAGTAGTATTAATCTTTTAGAATGTAAATAAGGTAAGGTAACATGATTTGTCCAATTCAAGGATAAGATAATGACCTGTTAGAACTACTCATCAGTACGTAGCAAACTATACATATGGAATACAAGCATTTATACAAGGAAAATATACAGAAAAGAATATTTCTATCAAACCTTGAGTATACAGGGAACATCTTTCACAGACTTCAATGTTTCACGTAAGGAAACAGATAGTTCTTCAGCAAACAAGAGGAAGGATATCTTCATCAAATAAAGGAAAACGTGCACTTTGAAGAATAAAACATAGGGCAAACTAGAAAATTATAAACAGCATTTTATGGACACTGATAGTTCATCGCTAAGCAATGTAATGAAAATTCTAAGAAACCCTATTTCAACCATATCTCACTAAAACCACTGAAGTCAATATGATCCAGCCTTAAAAGTCAATGGGTTGGGTCCATAACAAAACCAAATTGAATTTCAGTTATGCCAAGAATACAGCATCAAGCCGAGCATTTAAGTCATCAAGATCCAGTATGGGCCTCAGAAACCAGTTCCTGATAAAAACAAAATTGTTAGGAGGAACACCTCAGGTACTGATAAATTAAGAAGTGATATCAAACTTTCTCAACCAGTTACCTTAAGAGACGTCTGCCCATTGGTGTAACACACTGAAAAAAGTAAATAGAAATAAATGTAATGTTTTTCTTCCTGTAGTTCAGCAATCACAAGAATGAAATAACTGCAAATAAAAATCAGCTTCCTCAACCTTATTCATCATCCCAAATACAGAGAACCTGTAATAAAAATAAAAAAAAATTAAAAAAAACACACACACACTTTTAGTTTGCAAACAAAACATACAAAGCATAACATAAGAATTGAGATTTACCCCTCTTTTGCTCTTCCAATCCCCATATGGCTAGGATGTTTGTCTATTTGGAATATTTGCAATGCCTCAAGAGCAGCAGAATCAACTTTCAAAAATTTGTTTCTAGATGTGAGTGTTATGGCACACAACTTAAAAACATAGTTGACATCAGAGAACATATGTAGAATATGAAGGAGAGCTAATTTTTTACACCCACGCAAAAGATACAATGAAATTTCACTGACTGAGTCAACTGCAATAGATGCATTTTCAAATTCATTCTGTTCATGAACATCAATTATCCTTTCATCCTCCAATATTGCAAGAAGCCCTCCACTTGCACGCACTTGAACATCACTGCTAATGTCCATCATTGAACTCAGCTACAGTAGTCCAAATGAAGAAAGCACATGGAAGATCATGTTATACCAACAGGTTCCCACTTCAATAGATTGTGTCTTTGGTTCAAACAGTACCAAACAAAATAAAGGTACTATGCAACATGAATAGTGTAAAGAGTCCCACATTGATAAAATAAGAGAGAATATATGGATTTATAAGGCCATGGGTTAGCTTAACTAATTGGTTGGATTCAATCTTTTAGTGTGGTTTGGCCCATGTGCATTATAGCCCAATTGAGTGACTCTAGCCCAATCTAAGATTATAACAGTGAAGACAATAAGGAGATATCCACCGGCAAGCAGACTGCTCTCATGGTTCAAAAGTATATGGTGATTATGATCAAAGGAATATATTCCATAGAAACTATCTTGCACAGCTAGTGGGCTGAGTTTCCTAAACTAGACCCATACTGTAACTGGTATTGATTCAAAAAGTGCATTATAGCAGCAAAACAGCTACCATCTTGAGAATGTACAATGTGATTTCTCTTTTATGAAAATGCTTCATTCTCATGCACAGACTATTTTTGTTCTTTCAAGTACTTGGGTAAAAAAAAAAAAAAAAAGCGTAATAAAATTGGTAGCATACAACTTTTAGTGCATGGATTAGTCATTTTAAATTATTAACCAGATGACTATTTCCTGACATGCAATGGTTAATCACTTCAGGTCATACCTCCATACATCTTTAAAGTCACTGACTATCAAGTTGTAATTTATTGTAACAAAATTACCCTGTCCATCTCATTTAGGAGTCATCCCTGACTTCAAAGATTACAACAGAAGCAAATAAAGAGCCTATAGATGATATCTAAGCATAATCAAGAATGTAATTAATTAACTCACAAAGGAAATTCTCTCTTTGATATTTAAGCTATCATCCATTCCTGTGACCTGAAGGTACATCAATCTGTGAACCCAAAAAAAAAAAAAAAAAAAAAAAAAAAACAGAGATATTTTCAAGTAGGAAAGACTAAGAAAAGGAGAGGATTTAATCCATTGAAACATAACACAGGAGTATAGTATAATTCCAAATTAAGTATAAGACCCTTTTAGTTTCACTACTCAGTTCATACATAGGTCATAGAGAGTGAAGGAAAGAGAGAGAGAGCACAATAAATCCAAATGGTTCAATCAATGTAATTTGTAATTTGGTTTTCTTTGGGCAGATTTTCGGAAGTAACTTTTAATTATCCATTGCCAAATCAGCAAAAGCAATTCTTCCCTCACTAGGAGGATGGATTAGAACCAAATGACTGCAACTACAAGTATATGATGATACAGATATATCCTTAGAGAAGTACATTAGAATAGCAATAGTCATAGTAGTATGCACTTAGGTGCATCTTTCTAGTAATGTCTCCACACCTGTGCCATGCTTGCTCATAGCTGAATAATGAACTTTTTACCAGCTTTACAGTGGCAGCCTCACTTGTATTGTCTGTAGCACCATAAACAAATAAATATTTTTTGTGCAAAAGTTGGATTTTGAATAGTCATTCACATATTTAGCAACTTACCGCATCTCTGTAAGGCAGCCAAGAAAGACTCCTCACTTTTTGTACTGGTGTAGATGACTCCAGGCTGGACTTGGTATTTTACTGAACCAGAGACAGACTTAATGAGAAAAACTGCCAAAGACACATCAAACTGCAAGCAAAACATGTTGCAAGAGCATTTTTCTCAACTGAATGTTTTAGTAACTAGTTGCTTCATAATGAAAGCAAAAACATTGAGTAAAAAGTAGGCCTTATATGCAAACAAGGATGCCAATTTGGTACTGTATGTCAGGTTTCATCAGATATATAGCACTCAATATTCTATGAGGAAGCAAAATTTAGCACTTTCAATGAAGTAAAAGTCCATACTCATATCAAGTAAGGGAAAATCTTTACTCCCATCTTCCCAAATTTCCATTACATAGAGTTGGCGTATGCTGGAGTCATAATAGGAAACTCCAATTCTGCAAATAAATTCAATTAATCAAGAATTATTGGTCAGAAAATGAAATACTGCTCCATAACAAGCATTTGACTAAACATTTTAAGTCAAAAATTGAAACAGAAGAAAGAAAACAATTTTTTTTCTGATATCGCATGAAGAGAATGTGGAGACAAAATAGAGGTATAATAGGGAGCATAGTAAAATTTTCATTTACACAATTCACTCATAAAATGAACTTCTGAAAATGATAGACTCACCTATGACCATGCATGATACACGCCATATAGACCTGCAGCCACAGTGAAATTTTGTTATTATTGCTGTTGTTATTATTATATTAAGGAAATTCTGTAAAAAAAAAATAATAAATAAATAAATAAAAGCTAAACATCATAGACTATTCTCCTTCAATTCTACTACACTTCTATTCATCATAGAGTCGGCTTAAGATGGAATAGGGGTTTCTCTTTAGTGTAGTATGTGGGATCTGAATCATCTGATGCAATAACTTAGCAAATGATATAATGCTAGTTGTATTAGAAGCTTCAAAATATCATCTCAGAACCATAATTGAACAAGAATAAATTCAACTTCAATTTAATTTTGACTTGATTCATATTTCGAAGATGCAATCCATTACTTCCAACAACAATGAAAGAATATTATATGCATATACATATACATATGACGCACAAATATATACTCTGCAGCTGGATACATATTGAGATACAAACAAATATGCATATATTTCGTCGGTGCAGATAATATGTACCTCCAACGTGTTTTCATTCTCTAAGGAATCCGGAGATGGCTCGCGAAAATCTTCTATCATTATCAAATTAAATTTTGAGAAATCAGCAACATTATATGTGATATCGTTAGTGTATTTGCGTGTAACAACTAAGAAGCACAATCATTTTTCACTATCAGGTGGTTCGTGATGGTGGTACCTTGAGCAGAGGAATCAGCCGCGCTTGCCTCCGCAGAACAGAAGGGGTTCCGAGCTCCGGACACTGACGATGCTTCCATTAGTAGCTTGAGGGAAGAGAGAGGGAGAGAGGGGAGAGTCTGAGGAGTGTCGTCAATGGAGAAAGATGGAGTCCAGTTTAAATGTCTTTTCCCCCGGGTTTGGATTATGCCGAATATAAATCATACATTCATACTCGTATTTCATAAATGAAAAAATGAAAAAATTTCACTTTTCAACACATATCAAATTTAGTTGTTGAAGGTTTTCAAAAAAAAAAAAATAATAATAATAGTTGTTGACTATTTATATTTTCGGTTAATTTCTAAAATTTCATTTTAGACATTTTCTTAAATTGGTTCCTTAACTTTTAATTGTCAATCGTTATACCCTACACTACGGTGCGCGTAGCACTGTGCGCCGCGCGCCTCCCAAAACGACGTCATTTTAGGAGGCGCGGTAGGAAGTTGCTGTGAAGGAAGTTGCTGTGATTATGTATATTTGTTCACACAATTATGTATATTTGTTCATACAGTTATGTACATTTTTGTATACAATTATGTACATTCTTTTTATACAATTATGTACATCCGAATCAGAAAATTTGTGTGTATTATGTTAAGAGTTGATGTGTATTATGTTAAAAGTTTATGTTTATGTTTATTATGTATTATGTTAGATTATGTGTATTATCTTTTAAAAAGAGTATGTATATTTTGTTATATAATTATGTACATTCATGTATACAATTATGTGTATTCTAGTATAACATTATGTACATTTTTGAACATGGGTTTTTTTTAAAGAAAAATTAACTGCCATACACTGGGGTGAGAAATTTAAAAAAAATAAAATAAAAAAATTAAAACGACGTCATTTGCATCTGGGTGCACAGTGCAACGCGCGTCGTGGTGTAGGATATAAATTGCCTTTAATTGCACCCAAAGTGGTCTTTCAATTATTAAAGTTTAAGTCAAAATGGTCACCCGTTAGCTTTGGCGTGAAGTATGTGTTAAAATGACGGGTAAAATGGATAATTCAAGCTTTGCACTCCAATTTAATAAATTTGCTACTCCCTTTCAGTAATCTGCGCACGTTTTTCTTCAAATTAGGTTTTTGCTCTCATCAATCTGCAATCAAAATATGGGATAATCAACTGGAAGGCCAAAAAAGTTTATCTTCAACTTCATCTACAAACTTCCCAAGGCAAAGATTTCACTATGAATCTAAACATGGTTACTACAATTACCACAAAATATATAATTTAACCTAAACCAAAACCATCTTCTATTGTCAAAGTTGTAAGTTCTTTTTTTTTTTTTTTTTTTTTTTTTTTTTTTTTTTTGAAAACAAGCCAAAACCAGTATATTAATTTGAGTTGGAACTGTTACAAGAGAGGCCACTCAGAAAACGAGTGATATAATCAAACAATTCAATTCTGCCATCTCCTATGTAACTAAGAGCTCTTTTAGCTAAACAATGAGCCTGCATATTGTTACTACGATGTATGTAGCGATAGGTAACCAAAGGCTTTTGACACAGCAGCTCCCGTATATCATCAATAATAGTACCAAATGGTGAAATATTTGCACCTCCAAGCAATGCATTTGTCACAATTTGGGCATCCGTCTCCACAACGGCCTTCGTCCACCCCTTGTTCTTTATCCAACTAAGCGCTTCCCTAGCCCCCATTGCCTCTGCCTCCTTAACCGTATACAAACCATCCTTAGCAAACATGATTACCCCAAGGACAAAACCCTCCCAATCATAAATACACCACCCAAACCCCATACGGTAATTTGCATGGTCCATGGCAATATCAATTTTAATCCTCACCTCATCAGGGAGCATTTCGGCCGATTGTAGCGTTCGGTGAGGCAGCGCCATGGGCTGCACAAGAGGGTCAACATTTTCATTGCATTGCCGCCAATTCTGAGCACAGCGCATGATGAACAATAGTTCCAGGATCTGTACTTCGCTGCTGCCAAACCATAGCATTCCGAGCTTCCCAAATAGCCCAAGCCACCATTACCATCTGCTCAAGCATCACACCCGGTAAGGCAGTCCACATCTCCTCTAACCATTCAGAAAATGACTCAACATAACACATTGCCCAGTCATCATTTACATGCAGCCAACAATACTTTGCAAATTCACAATTGGCAAAAAGATGAACAATGCTCTCATTTGCCTTACCACATAACACACAAATTGGATCACATTGAACCCGCTTAGTCAAGAGAGCGTCTTTTGTCGGTAGTCGTAAAGTACACATATTCCAGAAAAAAACATTTAACTTTTGGGGGAATTCGCAAGCGCCACAACCCCCTCCACACTACCCCTTCCCCGTGCCCCCACTCCCTTGAAATAAGCCTATAAACACTTTTAACAAAATAAATATCATCTTGCTCCATATGCCAATACAGTAAATCGCCCCCACCCCCCCCCCCCCCTCCAGAAGATAAAGGTGTACTCAAAACTTGCTTAACATCCCTCTCACATAAGATATCCCTCAAAACCCCATGGTCCTAGTGCCTAGAGTTCACACATAACAAAGAGCTCACACATGGATCCCCCAAATATTCTGGTTTCGGAGTAACAATATATGGGTTAGTCTCATCGGGGAGCCAGGGATCACTCCAGATTCTCACCACTTCCCCGTTCCCAATTCTCCACCATGCCCCCTGTGTCACCAGATTCTGAGTCTCTCGGATACTCGACCATACAAAGGATGGGTTAGAGCCTTTCTTTGCCTCTAAAAAAGAGCACCTCGGGAAATATCTTGCTTTAAATACCTTAGTCACCAAAGCTTCGGGTTTTGTAAGGAAATTCCACCCCTGCTTGCCTAACATAGCAAGATTCATCTCTCGGACCCTTCAGAAACCCATACCCCCATATCGTTTTGGTACACACAACTCGCTCCACCTACTCCACCTTATTCCCCCTCGTTCCCTTCTCTCGCACCCCCACCAGAATGAATTCATAATTCGTTCTATCTCATCACTCAATCCCATGGGTAGAAGAAAAACATTCATTGCATAGTTAGGTATACTTTGGAGCACTGTTTTCAAAAGAACCTCCCTGCCTCCTCTAGATAAGAATCGGTTTCCCCATTGCATCACCCGAGCCCTAAGCCTCTCTCGAATAAACCCTAGAATTTCTCTCTTTTTTCTTCCCACATACCTTGGCAGCCCCAAATACTTCCCCTGGCATTGCTGCTCGCGGATCCCTAAGGTCGCGCAAACAGCCTCCTTATCCTCCCGATGAACGTTTCTCCCAAAGACAATCGATGTTTTGCCAAAATTGACCTCTTGGCCACTGGCCCTCCCATACTCTTTTAGAACATCATTTATCACCTCTGCTTCAAAATTATTTGCCTTAAACAGAAAGAGACAATCATCTGCGAAAAAAATGTGAGAAATTGTCGGAGCTCCTCTTGCTACCCTCAACCCATGTATGGCTCCCTCCTCCTCCCGAACCCTCAACATTGCACTTAGGCACTCCGCCACTAGAATAAACAGGTACGGAGATAGCAGATCCCCTTGTCTAAGCCCCATACCGGGAACTATTGGGCCCAATTCCCTCCCATCAACCAGAACCGAGTAATGAACAGTTGTCACACACTCTCGCATTAACCTCACCCATTGATCACTAAACCCCATTTTCACAAGCACTTGACACAGAAAACCCCATTCCACTCGATCATAGGCTTTACTCATATCCACTTTTAAAGCCCCATAGGCCCCCCTTTTCCCCGATTGGCGTTTTAAACAGTGGGCTGGCTCAAAAGCAATACGCACATTGTCGACAATTGACCGACCATGAATGAAAACACTTTGGGCAGGGGATATTATGGAATCTAACAGACCACGCAACCTGGTTGCCAAAACTTTCGCAACTATTCGGTACACTACATTACATAAAGCAATGGGCCGGAACTCAGACATGACCTCAGGGGATTTACATTTCGGGATCAAGACAATATGTGTATCATTGACATGCATAGGAAGAGTACCATTAACCATAAAAAGATGGCAAAAAGAGACTACCTCAGGTCCCAGAATCGCCCAATAAGTCTGGAAAAAAGCTGGAGAGAGGCCATCAGGGCCCGGTGATTTATCCGGATGCATTGTGAAAAGAGCCCCTTTGACCTCCTCCTCCTTGATGTGTCGAAGCAGCTTCGCATTTTGAGTCTCATCAATACGACTCTCAAGACAATCCAAGACTGGTTGCATATCCCCTTCATTAGTAGTAAACAGCGTGGAAAAATAATCCATTATAATTCCTCCCATCTGCTGTGCATCGTTAATACACTCCCCGGCCGAATTTCTCAACATAGTGATTCGGTTTCTCCTCCTCCTTCGATTTAACGCATTGCGAAAAGTTGTAAGTTCATAGGAGAGCCACATCGCCACTTCTGGCAATTGCACGTAACCTCTCAATTTTTTGCTCGTTTCGATTAATTCGCTTTAATAATCCGGGAATTATTTTCTTTAATCTATAACACATTAGGGGGCCAAACCATTCTTGAAATTCACATCCAACCATACACTGTAAACATAAATTTTAAACATTAAACCGTAAAATTAATAATACAAATAAAAAATAAAAAGATAACAATTTTGAATAACATTGCTTTCTCCACAAACCCAGAATCTCCAAACGAGATTTTCATTAGTCTATGATGTTTGTATAATAAAAAATGTCTCCGCCTTATTACACTCTCCGCTACTTCTTTTTCTCTCATCATTTCTTTTTTTTTTTTCTTTCTTTCTTTCTTCTTTCGCTCTTCTATTTCCGCCATTTCATATCTTCTTTTTTTCTCTCCTTTTTTCGCTCTTCTATTTCCGCAATTTCGCTCTTCTATTATAACACCCCCGATTTTTAAGCAATAAACAAAGGTAGTTAAGGCTTAAAGCTAGAGATAAAACTAAACATTATTAAACATTAAGAGTCACGGAAGCTAACAGTCAAATCGGAAAATGTCACGCCACATCTAACTAAAAGCTAGATGCACAGGCTACGAGACAAATACTTAACCATTCAAAACATAGTATCAAGTTCACAAGTTCAAATCTATAGGCACACAGGCCTCCATAACTAGCTAAGGGACAAAAGGGAGCTACGTTAAACTAATCCATCTTTTAGCGCG